TATTATTATTATTATTATTATTATTATTATTATTATTATTATCGTTATTATTATTATTATTATGTCCATTCCTTGTAGACTCAGGCAGGATGTTTGGCCTGGTTAATAGTCCTTGGGAGCGAGCTACAACAAGTCACCACGGGTCCCAGGTCTCTCTTTTGCTTCTTCTTACAGGGACAGTACTTTCCTTAGTATCTTTCCAGTCCCTAACAATGCTGTTTTCTGGATAACTTCCAACCTCATGTTCACGCCGATTCGCTTCATGTACTCCTTAAAGTTGACTGATACGGCTCCAGGGGCCCCAATAACAACAAGCACTACAATGACTTTTCGCATGCGCCAGACTTGCAATTTCATCTTTCGATAGTTGGTATATCTCTAACTTCTCAAGTTCCTTATCTTTCACCCTGTCATCACCTGGGATGGCCAATCAATTATGAGAACCTCTCTCTCCTTGTTATCAATAAAGACAATGTCTCGTCTTCTTGCCTCAATTTTCCAATCGCATTGGACGGTGAAATCCCACAGTATCTTGAAGTTTTCACTTTCCACCACTCACTCCGGCCTCCTTTTATACCAGCTATTAGCTCTTTCCAATCCACATTTACCACGAAGTTGCCAGTGGATATACAGTGCCACGCTATCATGCCTTCCTTTATATTCTGTCTGCGCCCGCTTACCGCACTCTCTCACCACATGGGCCACTGTTTCTCCCTTACTTCCGCACATTCTGCACAAAGGGGATTCTGCTGAAAGATCAATATGAAATCTCGTATAATAAACCTTGTTCCAGGGCGCTACATATCAGGGCCTCAGTACATCCTTTCAAATCTCCTTTTGGAATCCACTGCCAAGTTCTATCCCAGTCAATACCTTCCTTTTCTCTCATATACTGACCATGCATTCTTTTCTGCTTCCATTCATTCTCCGTCTCCTTTACCTCATTCACTTTGTACTAGTTTGGGTCCACAGCCTCCGAGATGTTGACTACAGTGCTATCTCCAACTTTCCTGAGTAATGCCTCTTCACTATTTCTCACGTACCAACTGAAGTATTTCTCTTCTCTCCTCACGCAGCTCTCATAACTGATCAGATAGATAGATCGATTGAAATCTTTTCTCTCCTCTCATGAAGTTTCGGTAGGCCAACTGTTTCTAGTGCTACACTATATGACAGGTCAGGATAGATAATTTTCAAAGCCCTTCTTTGGATCCGTTCCAAATCTTCACTGATGTAGTTTGGTAGGGAACGATGGAAAACAGGACTTGCGTATTCCAGGACGGGCCTAATACATGTGATCAGGCCTCTTCCTTCCTTTTTTCTGGTACGTATATTCTGGCAACATCACTTCTAGGGTGTAGCTCCAGTCATTCATTGTCATGATTTTTTTAGACTTCCTATCTATTTCCTGAAGTTCCTCCTTATTCCATTTAATTGTTCCTGCTCCATACCTCATAAGCGACACAGCCCAAGTGTTTGCTGCTTTTATCTTGTTCTTGCCATTGAGATGAGATTTCATGACAAGTTTGAACCGCATTAAGTACTCTGTTTGAAATATGTCTTTCATTTCCTTCTCCTTTAACTTGTCCAACTCAAGATTGCCCAGAGACTTGTAACCTTTGTCATCAACTTCCTTTGTCTTCTGTCCATTTATCAACTTAATACCCTCACTCTTACACAACTTCCACCGCTTCAGCACCACAACACCACATTTCTTTATCCGAAATTCTATTCCTATGTCATGGCTAATCAACTGTACTGTTCAATTCAATTCAATTCAATTCAATTCTCTACTTCACACTATATAAGATATTTACATAAGTGTACGTAGGTAGGAAAATAAAGTAGCTGACAAATAATAATTAACTAAAAGACATTAAGTTCATTTGTCTACAGTGTCCAAAGTAGCAAGAGCTTTCTTGTTGGACACCGTCATGTTGAAATAATTGGCAGCGGTAAAGAGAGGAATAGAAACTCAGATAATATCAGTGATAGAAGATATAAGCAAGGTCAGATTTGGTTGGTTAGAAGACAGGACTTCCATTCTTTCTTAAACTTATGATATGGCAGACACTTGAGACCAGGCCTTACAGTCTCCCAGATTTTTGGAGCAGAGAATTTAAAGGGCGTCTTAAGTTGGTCGATACTCTTGGCCTAAAATAGTTCAGATTACTGACAAATCTTGTATTATGATTTTGTATACGCGATGCTGGAGTCAGGACATCAAGGAAAATATCTGGAAATCTATCAGTCTCATTTCACATTCTATGTATAAAACAACACATTTTTAGTTTATATATATTATCTAATTTAAGGATAGTTAGGAGTTTGAAATAGGGAGCAGCACTCTCTCTAGGATGTACACAGAAGATGGTGCGGAGACATTTGTTATGCTTAAAACGAAGACAATCTAATCTGGTTTTGCTGGCACATCCCCAAGCAAGAATACTGTAACTCAAATAGGGATATATTAAAGCATAGTAAATTTGTCTCAGTATATTCAGATCTTTGTAATATCTTAGTTTTGAAAGGATTCCTACATTTTTAGCTAATTTATTATTTACATGTTGTATCTGTGGTTGCCAATTGAGATGTTTATCTATATAAACTCCCAAGTACTTTATGTAATCTTTCTGTTCAATACCAGTGATATTTATCTTTTGGTGGCACCTAGATGATGAGACTAACATGATATTGGTCTTTGCAGTGTTAATAGATAACGTATTTAGAGCACAGTAGTCATAAATTTGTTTAAGTTCTTGATTCATTACGGATTCAAGCTGTTTCAAGTTGTCGCTAGAGTAAAATAAATTGGTGTCATCAGCAAAGCGCCGCACCGAACGTTTGTCGATAAAAGGCTTTCAATCTCTTCTGTATCCTTGCCATAGACCTTCAAGTCATCCATAAAGAACAAATGATTTATTTTGACGTCTCCTAAGATATGTCCAGCTTTGATATCTTGTAGGATCTTGGTCAAGGGTACCATGCAAACAGCGAAGACAAGGGGACAGATCAACTAAACCAAGTGTCTCTCCACAAGATGTCAGTTATGTCTTCCAGTTTACAATGGATTTCTGCCGAAAAGCTGTTATATTTTCCGCTACCCGTGCCATTATTATTATTATTATTATTATTATTATTGTTATTATTATTATTATTATTATTATTACTATTATTATTAATATCTTTTTGCGTGCATGCATGCAAAGATAATAAGTAATAATAAGTATGAATTGTTTTTAATTGAAATAAGTTTTTTGTTTTTTTAATTGAAATATTTTTCTTAATCGAATGAATAATAATACTACTACTAATAATAATTTATCCGTAATACACAGAATAGCCCAGCCCAATCCAAAAAGGGAGCGGGAATGCGGAATCAAAATCCCCCTTCCAGAACGAAACCTGGTTTGATGACTTTCATAAGCAACGTCAAGAGTCCTATTATGATCTCTTGGCAACGTAAAAAACGATAATATCTCAAAATATACTTTTAGAATCTAACGAAGATTAGAAAATTTCCTGTAATTATTACAATTCAAGTTAAACGTAGAAGTTTTGTGACAAAACCAAATTTTAAAATTAGACCAATTTGTATGAAAAAAATGAGGATTAACTATTGACGGCGTTTATTGGTACATTTAATTTACTTCCATCATACTTTGCATTTACATTTTGGAAAATATTAATTCATTAAAAGAGGACGGTGTCTAAAGGCCAATTTACTGATATTAACCATTTGCAAACAGACATGTTGAGTTCGTTCCTTTCTTTGTCATGACGGACCTCTAAAATGTAAACCATGGAGATGGCCAACGAAAAAAAAATACGAAAATTGACATAACCCTAGCACAGAGGGTTAAAGGTAATATTCTTGGTTATAAGCGAAAATCAACTAATTTTCTTGCAATTATGATTTGTTGTTGTTGTTGTTGTTGTTTTTTCACCTATAAAATACTTTTTTTTGTCTTAAGTCCTTTGTGATCTAGTATTCTAACGTAAAGCAGCTCTTAACCATTATTTCAGCGACAGAAATAGTAAGACGTCCGCGATCCCTCTTACTAGATAGCAATACTATCGGGGATTCGCTCAGGTAACAGATTGATGTAAGGCAACTCCAGTGATTCATTGCGAACTTTGATTGAATCCGATATTTCCTGGAGAGAAGCCTGGAAACGACAAATTGCAGCCTCTGCTTCATCACCCGTCAGGAGACTGTGCGTAATGTCACCAAGGAAACGCTGAAAGATAAAAAGCGACGAAATTAAACGATAAGCATTTTGCGATGGCGTCATATTCCCACAAGTGGCTGACTTTAATTCGTTTTTCTGTTTTTCTTTAAATTTTGATGAAGCTGTTAAAAGAATGGACAAGAAAAGAAAACTTTTACAGGGAGGTGGAGTAAACCACCCTACCTTGCATGAACTAGCGGTGTTAGTAAGCTCATGCCACACGGATAGTATTTGTGGGTTTATTTCCGAATAAACACACAACTGACTGTCTTCCTCCTTGGTCCTCTAAAGCAGTCTTCATAAAAAGTTAGAAACCCCATCTTGTGTGGTAGTCCTATTTAGGGTCAAACGTCAGATGATTCAATTAATTGTCTGTCAATGATGCCGTGATTGGCTATGAAGACTCTAAATGTGATTGGTGAACTTCGATCCGTCTTTTGTCACAGTTATAGAGGCCGTGTTATTGTTAGTCAAATTGACGGTTCTACTATCATTCTATCGTTGACAATTTTGTTTGAGTCCAGTCAATAAGTCGTTATTTTATTGTGAGGTGCCAGTAGCTGCAGATTTAGGCTCAGCGGTGTTTCTTCTCAGTTAGAAAACCAATATACCAATGTCAGTCATTGATAGTAGGCTGTTGAAAACGTCATGTAAGTCACAGAGTTCCAGTCGATTGCAATTGAATGGTTTGTCTGTTAATGGCTTTCTGCAATATGATTGTTGACATCACCATTTCTTGTATTATTATTATTATTATTATTATTATTATTATTGGTTATCTTGTACTAACACGTGACTATTCTCACCTCATCCTCAGCAAATTGGGTTAAAACATACAAGAAAGCGATTTGATGGGCAGCCTGAGACTTGTTTGGAAGCGTCTTCATGATGGACTTCAGAGAAGCTTCGTTTTTCTTGGTTGGAGGCGGACGACGCATGAGATGAGGAGTATTGGGAATAAAACCTGCAACATCCATGAGTCCAAAGTTCACTGCAGCATGCTGGCACGAGCACGTGAATACTATGCAGGTAAGACCGTGAACGAGCTGGTCGAGGGTCGAAATGCTTTTAGGAAGCTCGCGATCGATGCCACTTTCTCCAACAGGAAATCCATTCTCGTGTATATCTAGCAACCAGGCGTGAAGCTCCGTGTCCTTAGCAACGTCTTTATCTGACTTATAGTAGATGGAGGTGACTTGTCGGATGAAAGTTGAAATAGCTTTCCATAGGCGAAGAGCATCATCTCTGACAATTAAAAAAAAAGCAGTTCCGGCTTATTTCAAGGGTGCTGTACATTTGAATGAAACTAGGTTTTAGTAATTGGTATTTGCTCGATAACGTTACACTGTGCAATATGCAAACAATAACATCTTCTTTACCTGTAGTAGTATTTCGGCAATTTCTTACTATCGTCCACTCCCTTCTTGGTGAGCACTTCAGGCAGCGAGAGCATGCTAAACCTGAACGCTTTGTAACTTTTCTTCAAAATCTGCATAGGAACTGTCTTGGTAACCAAGTCGTGTCTGACGAAATTGTTGATTGCCATCACAGAGCGAAGATGAGGGAAGAGGACTTTAAATACTGGATGAACCGAGGGCAGCTGGCGCCAAGCTGCCACGGCAAAAGTCTCCATAACCATGTGAGTTTTGAGAACATGGGCGTTTACCTTTAGTAAAGTGAAATTTGGTTGGTTATATGATCACCAGAGGCCAGAAAGAAAAAAGGGGGGAGGAGGGGGGGAAGGAAGAAAGAGAGAAAAGAAATATGGTTCTGATGGTCTATTGTAATTAATTATAGACGTGTTTTTCTTTTCTTTTTTTACTTTTTTTTTTTTGTATTTTGCAACCGGTAGGCGGAAATCCGTACATTCAAAACCATTTCAACCTTGTTCAACCTCGTTCGCAGGGCCTACACGTTACCCGGAGCGGAAGGATTCCTGGCAATGAGTTACCTATGTTTATTCCTGAAAACGACTGCCAGAATGTTTTCAGAAAAGTTTCAGAAAACGGCAACAAGTTCAGTGAGAAATTCCCGAAAGGTATCAACGCTCAAAGTACAGTGTAGGTTAGTATACATTCTTTCCTCGGTCTAAACAGTACTCAAATACCTTACGTTAAGCCAACGAACGCATTTCGCTGCCTTCGCTTTCTGATTCTTGTTGTGAGATAGTACTTGACCGCAATAGTGCTATTCTATATTTTTTACGCAATAAATTCTCGCTATCTTAGCACAATAGATTGAAGAGGTATTACAAACCTGCTGCATTTTATAGTCTGCGTGTCGAAGCCACATCTTCGCCAACAGCCAATCATATTTTGCGTCGTCTGGAGTCCATATTGGGTTGGTTTCACTTGGTTGTTGGAAAAGCTGTATGGCAATAGGCACCAGATCTCCAGAATTCTTAACGTAAAATAGCCCCAGGGGATGTGCATTGTAGCTAGTCGCCCCTTCCTCGGACGATTCTGTAATGCCTTCGAGCTCTTTGTAATCGACAATGTACACGTGACCTTTCTGATGGCCCCAGGATGACAAACACGCAAACAAACAAAGAAACAAACAAAGGCAATTAGATCAAATAGACACATTGAAATCTGAAAGCTGATCGTACTACGTGAAAAGTAACTTTGCAAGACACCGATAGAACCCAAAACAGTGCGGGGTTGTAACCGTCAACAGCTTTTCATGTTTTACGCAGCACGATCAGCTTTGCAGATTGAAATGTGTCTAATTGGTATATTTTCCTGATCAGGTCTTCTTTATTAGATCCTACGTTCTACCGCAAATTCATTTGCGGTCCCTTGCACTTTATGTTCAAAACCCGTCAATGCCAATGCTATTTCAATGCCCATGTTCCTGAGTGCTATATGCCGATTCTGAGAAGTCAACCGAGACAGCAAAAAGGATGAGAATATTTTCGCCGATCGTTATATATAGAGCGTTTTCACTCACTTGGCCAGCATCTATCATCTTACTGGAACAAAAGAAAGCGTTTGCTTAAGAAAAGAGTACAGCTTCCAGAGGACTGACTTGAGACACCAACATGGCCGCCGTTTCATTGTTTTGGGACACCAATATGGCCGCCGTGACGTCATTTGAAAACACTCTATACTCGGTAACTTCCCTATTGGTATCAAACTGAAGGAAAGAAAAACGAGGCGTGACTACAAACCTTCATCTCCTGTTCCAATGTTAGGCCACGATCCAGAGTGCTTTTCACCAGGACATTAGTGACTGGAAAATTTCCTGGCAATTTCGTACAACGCTCAATAACATTCGGGTGGCAACCATTCAGGAATATCGATCCGTAGACACTATCCGTCATCCAGCGATCTCCTTCCGCAATTTTTGGCACTCCTTTGTAGGGTCTTTTAAGGATCTTTTGAAAGTCGTCAAAGTTATCCCAGGCCTCGAAGAGAGTCGCGAGGTTAGAAAGGCCAAGATTTTTCACCGCCTTCTTTTTATCGTCAGCAATGGAGTTTTTGGCCTCGTGTGAAAATTGTGAATCTCTTGGGATATCAGAGTGCTTGGCGGCTTGAAGATGCCCAGGAAGGTCTTCAAAGCCAGGAAAGGTTCCCCATTTGTAGCTTTCCTGTCGTTGCTGCAATTCTAGTTTTCGCTGAGTTTTCACAACCTCTGGTTGATCTTGGAAGGGAAGGATAGCTAAAGAATTGAGATCAAAACAAGGTATCTTGTAAGGAATGGAGAAATATATCTCATTTATCATCAGACTTTACGGGCCAATTATTTAAACGAAGTCTAACTTAGACCGCGGTTTAGGAAATCTTTCAACCTCCAAATTTCTTTCTTTTAAGAAGGAAAATACTTTTCTAGTCTTCGCCACATGCTTTCATGAAACTGTTCACGATAAATGGTGTCTACTTAAAAGCGTTCGGCAAACTGAAAATGGCTTAGAACGCGGTTTTGTTAAACACTGGCTAAATTCCGTTTAAATAACTGGCCCTACAAGCTTACATCCGAAAGCTAATTACGTAGTTGCTGCCAGGGGAGGCCCAAAAAGAATGAGTGTATAAAGTGAAAGCTCGAGGTTCTTTACAAAAAGAAATCTTCCTGGCCTAAAAGAGAGAAGAAAAGTAATGCTTTTGATAATTTACAGTTAGTTTATTCAGATATAAATTTGTCATCACTAGGCTTAGTGCAAGGGCATTTCAAGTACCTTCTAAAATTAAAAAGATCCCATGCATAACTTTAAAAAAAATACTGTCTCTGAGTTAGTGTTTAGGGGACGTTTTTTTCGTTCGTTACCATTTTGTATTGCTTTAGTTTCTTGCCGTCAAGGTTCCATGCACCAGCAACTTCGAAGTCTTTCCATACTGTCGAGGCATAACCCATAACCCAAAATAGTTAAGCAAAAGAGAACTTACGAACAGCTGCTTCCCTTTGAGGTCAGTTTTCAGTGTACGGATATTCCCAGCATTATGTGACGGAAAATACTTTGCTGGCGGATCAAAGTAGCTAAATCACGGTGGAGCCTTCGCCTTGTACGACAGACATTCAGCTGTAACGCGTCCCGCCCACTGTCGTGACTGTATAGAGTCACGACAGTCTTTTCTTGATACAGTTTGATATTTTGGTAGCCTTACCTTTTCCTTCAAATACAACCAGATCCGACAACACCCAGCGATAACAAGGAAACTCGAAGGGATCTTCCTGACCGGAACTTATCACTGAGATCCTGTTTACAAACCAATCAGGATTCTTGTGCCACCAGCCGCCACCACTGTTATGCAGATGAACCATCAAGACCTCACCAACATCCATAGCCTCCACCGAGTACTCATCAACATCTCCTTTTTCAAAGTCATTTCCCCAGTTGTCTAACTTAATCATTTTTGTCTTCCCTTTAGTCCCTGCATTAAGAAAAACATTCGAAAGGTGAAGAGAAAATATTGGAAAATAATCCCAAATTTGAAATACAACAACACCAACAATTGAAAGCTATACATGAGTATAGGATCCTGCGGGAGTTAAAACCCGTTGCCCCTTAAGTTTTTAAGTACAGTTTATTGCCAAAAAGTTACGGTAGCCCAGGACCCTTTCATACACCTGCTTTTGAACACTATTAGGCTACCTTTCCTAATCCCTTGGAATAAAGTAAACAACTATTTTACGGGGGAACAGCAAGAGGGTGCGGTTTGTTTGTTTAAAATATTGAACTTTCAGGCTTTTTTAAAAACCTAAATGACAATTTTCCTTACCCCTTCATACACCTTAATTTTTGAAATCCCTGCATCCTTTTATACACGCAAAGCTTAACAAGGTAACCATTTTGGTCGGAGCCTCACCGAAATGCAACACTCAAAGTAACCCCCTCTCCCCACCCCACCTTCTTCCCCAGCTTTTTCCAAAGATATTGTAGTTTTACCTGTCAAAGATATGGTTATTGTGGCGTCCGTACTTGCTCCTGACTGGCTTCCGGTTTCTACTCGGATGAGATAAGAGGCCATGTGATCTGGGAGTACCTTATTTGACCTCCTGGATCGTAACTTCTGAGACCATACGTACACTGCATTTCGAATATGAAGAACAACGTTGGGATCGTCAACAGACTGAGCTGGCAATAAATCAATGCAAGGTGGACGGTTGGTGAATATGAATTTCAGTCGTTCGGTCGCTGTTGGCGACAGAAGTGATGTCATTTTGAGATCAGCTACGTCTAGCCATGGGTGTGTACTCTCGTCCCATTCCCTTCCGACATGAAGTATCAGATGCGAATCATTGGGCTTAGCTTCATGGAGTTGCATTTGAAGCTTGTACTCGAGAGGTCCTTTGCCTAATCGCTCCTTATACTCGCGCTTTAAGTAGTCTGGAGGTAGAGGCTCTTTTGGCAACCTTCTGTTATCCCTGTGACAGAACATTTACATATTATATTTTACCAACGCTATCGTACTAAGCCACTAAGGGAAGAGTTAGAAAGAATAAAGAAACAAATAAATAACTTATAAATAATAAAAGAAGAAACAAGTATACAGATAAACGAAATAATCACTCAATAAATAAATTCCCTGCCAGCAGAGGCCTCTTTTCGAATTCTTTTACTCCATTAGCAAAAAAGTATATAAATAAACAAATAATAAACTTTAAACTTATAATAACAGCAGGTTTCCATTGTCTACTCTTATAGTGGCGTCAAAATGTCCAAAACTTGCGGCTCGTGGTCTCTCTTACGTTTTGAACATCACGGGATTATATAGACAAAAAGAAGTATATTTTGTCTCACGCGTAGAAGGAGTGACGCGACACTATGACATAAGAGTGTAGATGATAACGTTCATTCCAGGGGAAGCTGTTTTCTTTGGGACACAATAATGTTAAAGTACTAGTCGGTTCAGGAGATTGAACAATTTCCACCTGTTATAACTGATTAAAACTTACCAAGGATGCCATTGTACTTTTTCAGATAATAAACCCGTTTCCCGTGATCCGTCAGCTGGGATCAGTCGAAACCTCACGTAACGCTTGACGTCATCAAACGCTTTGAAATCCAGGATCACTTCAGTGTAATACCGCTGGTCGTAGAATGAGTCAGGCTTTTGGCGCAGACCACCAATGTTGGCTACAAGGCTGCGATTAAGTAAGTGGAATATAATTTCAACATTTAGCTGTTGAAATAAAGAGGAACCCTACTCGACATTAACTTACAGTAGCGTTATAGAAAAATGATTTCAGTCTCTTATTTAATTCTGCTAAATAAAACCTCGACCCATGTAAGGGATTTCGGAATTCGGGAAAGTTTGTTTGTGGACTCCAGAATCCAAGAAATTTTTGCTGTAGAATCCGGGATACAGTTCAAGGAGTCCGGAATCCACTAACGATTTGAATCCTGAATCCAATTTCCACTGACAAAGAATCCGGAATCCATTACCGAAAATCCGGAATCCAAAGCGTGGAACCCCAAGAATGTCTTGGATTATTCCCTTTATACATGGGACGAAAAACCGACAGGAAAATCTTGACTCGTTTCCATCTGGAACAAGCACCCTAACCTCTAAAAGTCTACTTATGATATCACACGTCAGTAAACTTTCGTGGAAGTTAGCTATGTTTAGCTATGTCCGTTTACTTACTTGTCAGGGCTGAGCAAGAGATATGTTTTCAAATCTCCTGAAATTTTAGCTCTTACAGCATCGAAGATTGCCTTTGAGCTCCACAGGGGAGTGGTCGGTCCAGTCCCCATCACGATATCACATGGGCTTTCTTTATCCTCACTTCCGGCAAACCTTAGTGACCCACCGCAGAAATCGATCAGCACGTCATCAACAGACTGGATAGTGGAGTGACGCAGGCAGACCGAGTACGAACGCCCGGGGGTGAAAAACGCACAAGCGGGAAACTTGGGATTAGAGACGATTGTGGCAATGCCTTCGCTCCCGACACCAACCGGGTGCGTGCCTCTCTGCCCTTTTATCATCGCTTTTGCACCAAAAAGCAGCTTGAGTTTTTTCGTGTCATATGCGATCCTTGCAGAATCAAAAAGTCCAGGTTGCGGGAGTGGCTGAAAAAAAGCATAAAAGGGAAACAAGGAAGTAAGGGGGAAAAATCAGTCGTTGTGGTCCCACTTCCTTTCGAGGGTGGACGTTGCTCGTACTCTTCTTTTCAGTAAATTTGGAAACGCTGCCTTTGACCATAAGGAAATTTATGTGTTCTCAACTTTAGCAGTCGAAAACACCAACATTAACGAGATCTGATACAGTAACTATACTTTTTTTACTTGAGCTTCAGTGGTTCGTTGGAAATGTTATTCATGTTGCATCATACCTGTCCCATGAATACGATTACCTCCTTTTCAAATGTATTTTCCTCCATTTCAATTTTTGCTTTTTCTGCTAAGAAAAAAATATTTTGAACAAATATGCATTGGCTTCAATTCTGAAACTCGTTTGCGCCTACCTTTTCAAATTCTTCGATCTTCTGATTGAACAGTTCTTCCCCCATGATGTCTTTGTAAACTTCATATCCAATATTCCTCCCTAAAACAAAGAGTTTGAAATTATTATTATGGAATTTATGGAATACCCGATACACCCGCAGTTTTTGTCTTGAAATATACCAAAATACTTAAGTTCACAGCTGTCGATACCTAATGCCTTTATTTATATTCTAATTTATACCTTGCATTTTGGCAAAAACAAAAATCAGTACCCTATTAACAATACACGAGACGATTCGCAATGACGATTTCTCGCGAAACACAGCGTTACAACATTGCTGCGACATTGTTTCGAATGGTTACAACATTGTTCCAGCATTGCAACGCTGTGTTGCTCTAAACATCGTCGTTGCGAATCGTCTCATGTAACATCACCTTAAGGGCAGGGTTCGCACAGGTCATGGAAAACCTGGAAAGACACGGAATTTAACGATTAATTTCATTTTCCAGCCCTGGAAAGTCATGGAAATAATTGTCGGTTCTTGAAAGTCATGGAAAATTAAAGTTTTGTTGAATAGTTTAGTTACTGCAGATGACAAAGCAAGGAAAATGTAAGATAGAGAGGAGTAATTAAACAGCGCAAATGGCACTCATTTTGGTAGACACCAGAGTATGTGTCTATTGAACTGCTTAAGGTCAAAAAATACTCCCAAACTAGGAAAATTGTGAAAGTTTTTTAAAGTAACAAATAAACCTAAGGTCATGGAAAACTTGAAAAGGTCATGGAAAAAGTCGAGGAAAATCATGGAATTTGTTGAGCTCAAAAGACGACGAACCCTGGAGAGGTAAAAAATGCCTTAGACACTGCAGTAACCAAACTCTTGTCAGTGCCTTTGTTCCGATCTTTGCATCCAAAGCTGTCTCGTGTCCTGTTTTTAGTTCCTTTCCACGAAGAAAGGAAACTTGCTTTATAAAGGAAATAAATATACAAACAAAATAGTAAATAAATACAAGACAAAACGCATTGAAGCTGCACTTACAAGGTTTCTTGTTTCTTGACGTTCCGTGAAGATATACAGTTGTAAAAAAAAACCACGTTATTTAATGAAATTATTATTTTTTGTAAAATTAAGCAATGTATTTGTTAAATAACCAGTATTGAAAATGGCCAGTTGACCTCGAACATTTTATTTGAATTCGAGCGTGGAGTCTAGACAACTAACTAGCAAAAACTGTATAATGTTGTCAAGTTAAGGTGGCTCGACTAGAATTTTTTAGGGGAGTGGACCTCCCAAGTTTGAGCATTTACTTACGTCTGCATTAACAAACATAGCTGTATTGTATAAAAATGAGAATTTGTTATGATCAATGTTTTATTGACATCAGAGTTGCCAGGTATTTCCCTTAAAAATCCTGTCGAGCCACCTTAATTAAATAATGATCTAAATCAAAGTTTGCGCAAGTATAATGACCTCACGTCATTGGAAAAATATTGATTGGCTTCCACGCAACATCAAGGCATCACAAGAGATAATAATCTGAAGGAGCGAATCCCTTATTCATTTCGCTGTTGATAACATACAGAAGCAAGCAACATGACTAGCAAACTTGGTATTACTTTTGGCAACGAGTCTGAAAATTTCTACGTGGAAAAATCTGTCTAGAGTAGTCACCGACGAGCAATATTATCCTGACTTGCAGGAATCGCTGAAGAAATGAGTTCCGATTCGAGGGAAATTGCTAATTGCGGTCTTTGCTACATCATAATATCACGTTCTCTCTTGGGCATCATTATTAATATCATCTTCATCATTATTATCGCCATTATCGTGATCATCATCATCAAGAAGGAGAAACATACCCTTTTTCGTCCTTGCTGGGTTGATAAGCTTGGCCACTGCTTAGACCATGGCCAAAGGAAGCACGCAGGCATGCGCAGTTACCCATGAAGAAGGCTGTTTCCTTATAGATACTGATATAAGTAAATTCAAAGTCAGCGTTAACAGATGCACAAAACAGTTCGTGGATGATTGAGCTAACAGTTCTATGAAGATAAATACTTCAAATTATTTTCAAGGAATCAATCAATCAAAAACTTGATTTAATCTTTTGCAATAAACGGCTGGTTAATCAGTGAGGTCTATGAGAGTATTATTAGTCTACAGAAAAGAAATTTGCTTTTCTATGTCTCTCGTCCCCGATAAGTCTTCGAGAAACTTAAAAGGAAATGGACCTCAAAAACTGCCAATGTTTAAGAGCGCCGGTAAGGAAAAATCGACCAAACTCTTAATTTCGTGGCAAGATTTGAAAAATCAATTTCTTTCATTTTTTGTTCATAGATAGCTTTTAGGTAGATAAGAAACCTGAAGTAGATTGTTGCTCGAAAGCTTTTTATTTCTGAGAAAAATTAGAAGATCGGTTTTCGATGTCGGAATCTCATACTGCCCTAATTTTTAACCTGAAATTCGCTAACATTAACTTTCCTCGCGTTCGCAAACGAAGCAGCATGGAGAAATTTGGACACTTACCATGGACAGAAAAATTATTTTTCTTCCACTAAAAGATACTCTCGGGGCAATAGCGAAGCTCATCGTACCGAAATAATTCAAAAATGAAGAATAGGTTTTCAGAATAACAAAAACTTAAGTTCGTTACTCATTTTCGACGGCAATATTTAACATGTGGTTTAACTCCAAATTCTCTTAATGCTATTTAAATCACACTTTTAGACATTCATTTAAAACATACTTGGGAACTGGCTTGGGTTACTGAATGTTATCTCCGTAAGACACCACCGAAGTTCAGGAATTTTCATGGTAGGCCGACGGTAATTGTGTGAACACTTCCAATTTCGAAACGCACAAAAGTAGATATTTACAGCCCAAAGGCTCGCTTTTTTGTACTTCTTGTAGGTTTTCCCATTGCAAAATTCCTTTTTCCAGTCAAAGAGTGGGGTAAAAAGGTGAAACTGGGTCAATTTTAGCCATTTTGAGACACTAAACTCTAGACGGCGACTCTGCGTGACAATCTGTTCCATTACTGCACGCGACATAACGTACGTTTGAAGAGACGGAGACGTCAAAATGACAGTCACGGAATCACGTAGTAACGTAACATAATTCTTGAAAGAGTAACATTTTCGATCTGGGCAGTATTTTCAAGAAGAAAAAGTCGAACGCGCTTTTTCTGGTACTCACTTCTTATCAAAAAATAAGGACTTTAACAATGGTAATTCGCTATGGATGACGGAACAGCAAGATATTTCGTCTTGTTAGTTTACGATCGAGGAAGCTTGGAGCCGTTAAATAAGTTATTTTGGTCACGCTTCACTATTTTTATCGGACTTGAAGGCTCCTTAAAGGAACCCGAGCCAATTCTCAGGTATGCTTTAGATGAATGTCTGAATGTGTGAATAAACGAGGACCGAGAAAATTTGGAGCTATACCATATGAAGAATAATGCCGCAAAAAACAACTACTAAATTAAAGTTTTTGTCACCGCAAAAACCTGTTCTTCGTTTGTGAATTATTTTAGTTTAACGAGTCTTGATATTGCTTTGAAAGTATCTTCTATTGAAAGAAGAAGAGTTGTTTTATTGACAGAAAGTGTCCAAATTTCTCCTTGCGGCTTTATTTGCGAACGCGAGGAGAGTTGATGTTAGAAAATTTCCGGTTGAAAGAACGGTCATTTTGAGACTCCGACCACGAAAACTGATATTCTTATTTTTCTCAAAAATAAAAGGCTTTTTGCGAGAACAACTTACATCAGATTACGTATTTACCTAAAAGCTATTTATGGACAGTAAAACGGTTGGTTTAATCGCTAAATTGAGGCACTTTGTTCCTCAACATACCTTGCTAAATATTTACCGTGCGTTAATCTTGCCTTATTTATCTTACGGTTTGATAGTTTGGGGGCAGGCGTAAAAAACACATTTAACAAAAATCTTATTGCTTCAGAAAAAAGTTATCCGTTTCATATTTTTTGCCAACAGGAAAGTCCATGCCATTCCTCTTTTTATTGATGCAAATATCCTGCCAATTAGCTTTCTCTATTTTAAGTCCGTATCTTACCAAATGCATGATATCCATACTAATTCTGCACCCTCAAAAATCGTTAACTTGTTCTCGCAGACATCATCTATTCATGCATATAAGACAAGATCATCCTCTAAAAATAATATGTACATCAAAAAATTTAATCTTGAAAAACTAAGACAAGCCGTCCCAATTTTTGGCGCTAAAGTATGGAATGAGATACCAGGTAGAATGAGAGATATGTCAAAAAAAGTGTTTAAACGAAAGTAATTATAATAACTTTCTCAGCGGCCGGAGCTGGCACACCATTTTGAGGGTCACCACGTAAGTAAAAGAATTCTTCTGAATACCTACCCGTTGTGCTCTTCGAAATATTAAAAGACAAAGATGATTACCTTGATGCAACCCTGATAACACGAGAAATAAAATCGCGAAATCCTAAACCTTAGCCTCTTTCACAGGTTGCATTAAACAAATTTGTCTTTCTTGCTTTTGAATTCATTAAAAATATTTCTTCTTTTCTTTTTCTTTGCTTTTTACTTATTATAATATAATATCTGATTTATAATAGAATTAATTTGGCACGCCTCGACTAGCGTTTTCTAGCTAACTGAGCGACAAAAAATTGTACTTGTAATGTTATGATAATAAATGTCTTGTCTTGTCTTGTCTTGTCTTGAACAAAAAAAGGAAGGAAATCGATTTTTCAACTCTTGCCACTCGTTGGTCGATATTTCTGACCGTCGCTCTTAATAATGTTTAATAAACAAAGCGACAAATATATACAGCTAAATCAGAAAGGGATGCTTTGGTAATTGGACATTGGGCATATGGAGCAATGCAATGATATACTTGAGTGACCACCAAACAAAATCTTCCCAATACCCAAAGCAATCATTATTGATATATACACATATATTTACATATTTTTATGGTCTCTTTTGTTGTTGACCATAGAAATAACCTCAAAATGTTCAAAACTTTGCAGTGAAACCACTCGCCCACGTTCGTGGTTGTCATTGAATTTTCAGCCTTTGTCGTCATTTCGAATTTCGTCGAGTTTAATATTTTGAAATATATATTTTTTTAATATTTTAATGTTTAATATTTTGAGTTTAACAGTCAATTGACAGCAACATTTAAGACTTGTCCAACCAATGTATTGTGGGGGATTTTAAGAGTTCAGGAATTGAAAGATTTGGGAGGCTAGAACTTTATTTCCTTTGAAGAAACTGTAAACCGTAAAATATTTCTGCTGCATATACCACTAAATTTTCTTTTCTGATCTTCTGTGATAGGCAAACGACAATAGTGTGGAGAGGTGAATTTGCAGTGAGCCGCTCAAAAACAAAATTAAATCCTGCAATTAACTAAACACTGTTTTCTTTTTTCGCCAGCAGTTTTAAAGAACTGAAAAACACCAAAGAAAGGAAGGTCAGCAATTTGTAAACACGATACAGTATCCGCCACATATAAACTTTTAGACGTTTGTAAGAAGAAACAGTGTTTTTGCTCGTGCAAATCCTTAAAGAACACTATCAGATGCTTACAAGCCCTATAAACAGAGGAAGTATGAGCAATCTTATCAACGGTAGAAAAACTCGACGTACAGTTTATTAAAATGCTTGTACCCTGCGTCAAATGATTTCTTCTGCACCCTTTGCCTTGAAAACTTTGCTGCCCGAGGTTTTACGAGGCACAAACATAACTTACTCAGTAAACAAGGTAGGAAGCCTGGATCATTTACAAAGACATTGCAGTAAAAGCCTCATTTTGCCTTGGAACAGAAGAAAGCCGAAATATACTGAAGAATTCTATCAGGCCTGTTTTCTGTGGAAGAAAAGAGTAAACTGACTAGAAGAATTGTGTAAAGAGATGAACGGTTGTCTATGAGCATATGGCAAGTCAAGAAACCCACAGGGATCAATTCTGAGACGTAACTGACACTCCAAAAATAAACTTATACGGAATTTAGGCAATGTCATGTTCACCGATTATAAAAACAGCTACCCATTGTGTATCAAGTTTCTGCTTGCGGCGGATTTTCCAATCTCTCTTGTCAGAACACCTGATATCAATGACAAATCGATAAGCACTTCTTCTTAAAGGAATAAGAGCAAGGTGGGAATATTCAATTTTGAAGTAAAAATGCCATCCATACCAAATTAAGTACGTGCATTGCTAACCAATAAGCGGAAAGCTGCTTGGGTATTATGTCAGTCTATCAGTAAAAAATGAAGCTTGCGACGAACTCAGCCTTTTCAACAATGGTGGTATTGACTGCAGTAAAATTTGTTGCTAAGCCTTTTTAAACAAGAATTTCACATGCAATGTACGTGTTGATTGACGCCAAGGCTGTGCAAATTACCGTTGATCATAAGCGTTAACTGTTACTTAGAAGATAAGACTTTTACTGCATTGCTGTAAAACTGAATTTCCTTATTAACGACTTAAATCAATTATCATAATAGTGATACCGAAATCTATAATTGCAATGTTATCACCGTATGTATAACACTTAGACATTTCAATTTCAGACCTTTAACGTTAACTCGCCATAAAACAACTTACTCTGAAACAATGCTTGCTTTTACGTAATTATAATAACTTTCTCAGCGGCCGGAGCTGGCACACCATTTTGAGGGTCACCACGTAAGTAAAAGAATTCTTCTGAATACCTACCTGAAATTAGAAAACCAAAAACTCCCTAGACAGGCATAATTGTGGACCAAAAAAAATGTTTGTCGAGTACTCGACAGGATGATAACTTCACGCACCACTTAAATCCGTCGATTAATTATCTAGAATACTGACCTAGCTGATCATGCATACCGTCTTAGTTTATTCTTGGCCATGAATTTGCATTTACCTCAACATGTCACTTAACTATGCAATTTCAAGGTTTACGTAACATGAAAAAAGCAAACAAGTCAAACAAAACGATGGCTTTAATTAAGCCGTCCTAAAATGTTTAGTGAAATCTGAATAAACTGGAGGCCCTTCATCTTCATCGGCCAACTAACAGTGAGGCCCGTGATTTAAAACGGTTAAAGCCACAGTTTTGACGTATCCATCTTAATTACCTCTTTGAGTCTGTCCGCTGAAATTACAATCAGAATGAAGAAATGTACCAATTCTTCACTGTAGTTCTCTAGAAGATGAAATGCTGTAATTGCCAGAATGTCTTGTTAACTTTTATATCACCTAATGGTAACAGTACTCTACCTTCCTTGGTTCAAGTTCCTGTTTACAGTTCACGGTGTTCCTTCCAACATATAAGTTAACAGTGAACTTACGACCTTAATGCCATCCAACTTCCACCACATTTCAAAAGACTCACGTAAACAAAAAAATTCTTTGGTTATTTTGTTTTGTTTTGTCGTTTTTATGTTGATATAAATTATGGATTTGCCAAATGATTAATTCCAAGAAAAAATTAATCCTGGCACTCTAGGGAAGTTGCCGAATCTCATTCATTGTTCAATCTATCGCGGATTCGCATTGCTAAATAACTTCACTGAAGACGACCACGATGGACTTGCGGCACTTAATGCTTCAGTTAGTATAGAATCTTGTTCGAACTTCCGCAAATTCAACAATTAGCCTCACCGACTTCCTCGGTGTAATATGATAAACAACTATTTAAAAACCGGTCAGTGTAAAACGCAGACTGCGGACTGCAGACTGCAGACTGCGGACCAGGGGTAAAATGCAGAGAGAGTGAAAATGCAGACTGCAGACTAAGAGTAAAACGCAGGTTGGGGTAAAATGCAGACCGAGCATAAACTGTAGTCGCGGAAGGGTTTAAGGGCAAAACAATCCCGCAAATACCTGAAAACGAACACTTACTTGACATCTCCTCTCACAAATCCATTCCTTCCTCGCTCTGGAACGTCGTCGACAACGCGAAAACATACTAGTGATTGCAATCTTTAACTTTTTTTCCGTCCGAGAGACCTCACGCTTCGACCGTGAATTGGTACAACACAACGATGTTTGCGCGTAAATAAAAGCTGCTGACCCAAAATACTGAACAGAAAGAATTCAAAAGAATTATAGCGATAGAAAAGGGAGTAAATCATTCCAACAACAAAGGAAGATGCTCTGCAGGAAATGTGAATGACCTTCTATGAAAGGATTGAAAATCAAGGTACGCAGACTTTAGCTGTTTGGATGTTCATTGAACTTTTGCCGGGGCGAGAATGTGTAATGTACTTCGACTAGGAAGCGACGTGTGTAACCACAGGCCACCCAGACGTAGTATGTGCCACGGAATGAATATATTAATATTCACATGGACAAATTAATGCGATAAGTCGTCGAAACTCCAATGAACTAAAATAGTCCAAAAGTCAAAATATAACAAAACAAAGCTAATATACCTTCAACTGAACGTATCCTTGTCTTTCCTGGCCGGTTAAAGTGGCATTTTGTTGAGTTTTGCAATTGTGGGTACTATCCACTAAAGAAGAATTAAAGGCTGGCAACAAAACAAACAGACCATCTCCACGCGCCTTCACACGAAGCGCTATAAATTCGAGAATAATCGACGAATCCGCTCCAAATAACCATCGGCTAATCTGCAGGTAACGTGTGCTCCTGCTTCTGGCTCGCTTGCTCCACAAAACCCATCGCAACTGCACAATAATTGCTCGCTCATCAACAACCACTGTTGACCTTTACGCTTCAATATGACCGCAAACGACCAGGTTTAATACGCGACGTGAATATTCAAGCTTAGCGACCGCGTTCGCGCAACAACGCAGCACTTGCTATGGGAGGGATGGTACTATTGTTTCTAGGTCAATCGACACTGACCGAAGGTTCGCTGCGTTAGTTTTGCCCAGAAAACAAAAGGCGATCGCGGGACCGTCCGTAAGTTTTCAACAGGGCAGCCCTGGTTTTCAAGTTCGAATTCTTCTAACGTTCGCTGTCTCAGCTGCTGTCACATTGTTCGTCCAGCCGCTTGCATAGGTTCCTGACTCTACCAGACTTATTTGCTTAGATTAACAACGTCTTACTCCATAATATGTTTTCCAAACTGGTGAAGGAGGACGAGAATTTTCCGCCCAGGAAAAAGGCAAAATCTGGCCCCGGCTATGCAGCTGAATAGAAGATACAGCTGAAGATATCGTGAAGTAAAATTTATGTGCGCGATATCTTTTATTATTATTATTATTAATTATTCTCAAAACTCAGGGGCACCCAACGATGATTTCCCCCTAAATGCATTGAAAACACATTTAAGGCTGTCCAGAGTACTTTTGATCTAAAAATGCATTCTAAACAGCTCTTACATAAATTTAGTCAGGAGGCGGGCTAAAAGCGAAGCTAATGATTTATATTTTGCTCATACTAAATATAAAATATATCGTGTAATGCTAAGCGGAGAAGGCAACGAGACAGGGCCACCCAACAACTGTTTCCTCAAATACTTTGAAAACACTTTTGTAGCTATTCATAAAGTACTTTTAGCTCTATAGAAATGCATTCTAAGTGGCGCTATAAAATTTGCATCTCAGTGTTCGCCCATTCTAGAGGAACTTGAGTCTTTCGAAATTACGAGGAATTCAGAATTATTTTCCCGAAAATTTTAGATGCAATTTAACGTATTACGAAGGAGATAATTTTTCAGATACCTTCTTTCATCACATTTTTGAATCCGAAAATTTTAGGATTCCATTTTACTCTCTACAAAAAATAGCCTAACCCGGTGAGTGAAATGTGAAAAATTAACAGTTGGATGCCCTTGACGAGAACTGTGAAAAACAACAATAGGTCTAATTGCAGCACACTTTCTTGTACATTTCCTTGCCGTTGATTTGCATGACTGCAACGTGAAACGTCCAGAAAACTTCCTGGTTTTCACTTTTTATGGAGAAAATGTGGTACATGTTCTTGTTCACGTTTTCTACTGCCGCTCATTTTTTTTAGCTCCGCTATAAGATTCGTGCTCCTAGGGCAAATTGGATCTTTTTAAAAATTACAAGGGCTTCAATATTATTTTCCCGATTGATTGACCTAGAAGCAATAGTACCATCCCTCCCATAGCAAGTGCTGCATTGTTGCGCGAACGCGGTAGCTAAGCTTGAATATTCACGTCGCGTATTAAACCTGGTCGTTTGCGGTCATGTCGAAGCGTAAAGGTCAACAGTGGTTGTTGATGAGCGAGCAATTATTGTGCAGTTGCGATGGGTTTTGTGGAGCAAGCGAGCCAGAAGCAGGAGCACACGTTACCTGCAGATTAGCCGATGGTTATTTGGAGCGGATTCGTCGATTATTCTCGAATTTATAGCGCTTCGTGTGAAGGCGCGTGGAGATGGTCTGTTTGTTTTGTAGCCAGCCTTTAATTCTTCTTTAGTGGATAGTACCTATAATTGCAAAACTCAACAAATGCCACTTAAACCGGCCAGGAAAGACAAGGATACGTTCAGTTGAAGGTATCTTAGCTTTGTTTTGTTATATTTTGACTTTTGGACTATTTTAGTCCATGGGAGTTTCGACGACTCATCGCATTAGTTTGTCCATGTCAATATTAGGGACCAGTCATAATTTAAGTTGGAGGGGGGAGTGGAGGAGAAATTGTTTTTTATTCCAAATTTTTTCCAGACCCCCACTAAAAGCACCCATGTTTTTTAGGTACCCCCCCTTCAATCATGTTAAAAGATTTAAGGGCCCCCCTTTCTTATACATAATACCCAAATGGTAATAACAAATAACATTTTCTTTACTTTACCGTTCTTACTCACTGTGCCAACTAACAACAGAGAAGCACTTCACACTAAACTGAGAAAGAGATTTCACCTAGAGCCTCTCAAACAGCTTATAGAGCAAGGATATATCAGTGATTGTGTTATAATTGAGATAAGACAAGCCATCGAAAGGTGAGAGGCCGACAGGACCGCTTCAAGGAAGAAAGAAGATAATCAGCCAAGCTTACTGCTTTTTATATGAGCAGTACATGCTCTAATAGCGAAAAACTTGACGGTGACACAGACAGTGAGTCCGCATCAACCTCATCTACAAATAATGATTCGGATAGTGAGATTGGATAACATGACTTTATGCATGTAATCATTTGTTAAAATGCTGATGAAATTGTTTCAGTGTTACACAATAATGGATGTTGTGTTGATGCACCTACTGTTTGAGCACTAACTCTTTTTGTAAAAATGCTGATTAAATTGTTTTATTATTACACAATATAGGACTTTGTGTAAAACTGAATCAAAATCAGGTCCTTTAATACTCAATCATCATGCTGCTCAGCAGGGATGCTACTTAAAAGAAACTTGAAGACCCCCCAAGGTCATCTTTTGGCATTTTAAGGCCCCCCATATTCCATCCAAAAAAAATTGAAGGCCCCCAATTTCTCCTCCACCCCTCCCCCCCTCCAACTTAAATTATGACTGGTCCCTTAATATTTTCATTCAGTGGCACATACTACGTCTGGGCCGCCTGTGGTGTAACTGATATTTACCAGCTAGCTATTTGGAGAAGAAGGAGTACAGTCTTCATTCTGCATTTTGCACCCAACTTGCGTTTTACTCTCAGTCTGCAGTCTTCATTTTACACTCTCTCTGCATTTTACCCCTGGTCCGCAGTCTGCAGTCTGCAGTCCGCAGTCTGCGTTTTACACTGACCGATTTAAAAACAATGAATCATTCGGCAAAAGTGGCATTTTTTCAAAAACGAAGAAGTGGAAATGGGAACCAGATATAGGAAACGAGCAGTCAGCGGTAACACAATAGACCTTAGTATATATTTGCCTGTAAAAAAGATTTCTGAAAGCTGACATTTTCCAGTAGATGCTGCTAAAACGGGAAACGTGAAACTATAAGAATTCAATGGTAATTTCGACAATTATTTCTAAATGGCAGCTATAAAGAATGAGAAACGTTTAGTCTCTCTGATCTGAGTGAAAGAGAAGCGTAGAAAGGTCACTTTTTTCAACCGTTCACCCTTTTCCTGAAACGTGATCGTCCTTGTAAAGTGTTTAGAAAGTTTCTGAAGCCACTTCACAAATGTCTCCTCCGCCTAATATCGTAGCCGAAAATCGAGTTAAGTTTTACCTAGAGGGGACCCCATTAAAACGTCGCGTCTCGGCAAAAGCTATTAATAGTATCCTATTTACATCGATCCATACCCGCACTTCAATTGAGGTATGGAAGTCTGGCGGCCACTTTCAGATAAAATGTAGAACAATTGGTGTATGAAATAGGGCGGGAAGGCGACCAGCAGGGAGGTGGAATGTACATAAGCTAACGATGAAAAGGATATTAGACGCCAAACAGGGAGTACTTTAAACTTCTATCGAAATCGTCATGAATGCATTTGTGCGATCCCTCTTATACTCGCTTGGGTAAGACCGCTGTAAATAGTTTGACGACGTCATCACTTGGGGCGCCATAATTTGTCATTTGATTTCACCATGTATATCAATTCGATTAGTTATTTAATGGCCCATATCAACAGGTTTGGTAAACAAAAATTACAAAGTAACTATATACTGTACCCAACGTTAACCACACGCTGAGCCTGTGTTTAAATGGTTCTTCGGCCTCGGCGGCACGATGCAAGAAAGCCATCCATCCCACAATGCGCAAATTGGTCATCAAAAATGCAAATTGTTTTATACCGATAGGCTGTATTTTATCTTCACATGACCATTTATCAAACAATCATTAGTGCTTAATACTCATAAGGGATTAACTTTTGTCAGATTTTCCTTAATCTGCCTGATTATTCAGTGGTAAAAAATATCATTTAAGGTGGCTGAACACAGTTTTGCGGGCGGTCAGCGGTAACTCGCTTGACGGCGCGTGTTTTAAATTAGACAAACAAACATGGCGGCGAAAAAGCAATGGTACACAGAAGACGATATCTCGATCAAAATCTACTCATTAAAATTTTGTGATATTTGGCAGAATTTTTACTTATGTAGTATTTTAAATAATGAGAACTTTAAAATGGAAATTGAACTGATGAATTTTGCGACACATTTAATAAATACAGTACAATTATATTATTGATTATCTAAAAAACCGTCTGTTAGAATTTGGTCAAATTAGTTTCAAATGGTAACGATTAATTATGGTAAGTTGTGTGCAAGTTTATGGAAAAATCGTATGAGCAAATTTGATGTAAACTGAGCAAAAGCAAAATTTTAAAGTTGTATTCAGTTGTTCATGTTGCCATGGAAACTACGAAAACGTCAAATTTTACCTGTCAATCAAAATTTTTCATCAGTATATTTTTCACTTGCCAAGTTTCAGCTTGTGAGCTGCAACCGTTTTCTTTCCATGATTTGGCAAATGACAAACTGCCAAAACTGTGTTCAGCCACCTAAAGCTGAAACTAACCTCTTAGCCTTCTAGTTTTTTATCGTCTGAAATTATTAGTCTTTTCAATTAAGGTGAGACACATCATTCTATCGCGAAATTGCGTTAATTTCAGCCGTTTTTATAGAAAAATGAGACCACCAAGGCCTTTCTTTTTTTTAGATAGCAATACTGTCTGGAATTCGCTCAGGTAACAGATTTATATAAGGCAACTCCAAGGATTCGTTTCGAGCCTTGATCGCATCAGATATTTTCTGAAGAGAAGCCTGGAAGCGACAAATTGCTTCCTCTGCTTTATCGCCCGTTAAAAGACTGTGCGTGGCATCACCAAGGAAACGCTAAAAGAAAAAAAGAAAAGAACATTGAAAAAAAAAAAATCAACCATTTTGCGATGGTGTCATTTTTTTGCTGCATGGATTTGCAATCGTTAGTCGGTATAAAAATTTTGTATTGTTAATAAAGTTACAATTAAGCTGGCCAAATACATGGACGAAGAACTATAATTATGCAGCGCAGAGCAGATTTAAAAGGAGGGATGGATAGGTTTACGATAGGTTTATTTCAATATACGGCGTTTTTTGTCTTTCTTTCTCTTTTGTTCAAAAGCAAGTGTCATAAGTTGGAAATTACTTTCTGATGAGCCATCTCATGGAAATCCAGTTGACACATATGCTCACCTCGTCCTCGGCAAATTTAGTTGTCACATACAAGAAAGCAATTTGATGGGCAGCCTGAGACTTGTTTGGAAGCGTCTCCATGATGGACTTCAGAGAAGCTTCGTTTTTCTTGGTTGGAGGCGGGCGACGCATCAGATGAGGAGTGTTGGGGATAAAACCTGCAACATCCATGAGTCCAAAGTTCACTGCGGCGTGCTGGCACGAGCAAGTGAATGCTATGCAGGTAAGCACGTGAATGAGCTGGTCGACGGTCGCAAGGCTCTTTGGAAGCTCGTGATCATTTCCACCTTCCCCAACAGGAAAGCCATTTTCCTGTAAATCTCTCAACCAGGCTTGCAGCTCCGTGTCTTTGGCAACTTCGCCATCTGACCCGTAGTAAGTGGAGATGACTTCTTTCATGAATGTTGATACCGCTTTCCAGAGGCGAAGAGCATCATCTCTGTTGATAAGAAATAATACTTGCTTGTTATTAGGCACATGAATGCTCCACATTTGATGTAGACGATATAAGTACAGTGTAATATTGATTTGGCCAAAAAGACAACCTGAAGGCACTTGTGTTCTGTGACATGTGCAGAATACTTCAGTGAAAGTGCGCGCGTAAGGTATTTACGCAGTTTATTTATAGTTTTGTTTTGCAAGCTCTCTACAACATTTTTCTTTAAAAACTTTCGTAACACAAAAACGCTCCTGTTTCACTAGTGCAAATTGTCTCATGGAACGACTGTGATCGCGAAAAAGCAACTCGGAGCGAAACGAACTTTCGAGCGAACTTCGTTTACGATTCTGATTGGACTTACTTCTTTTCTCCCCTCTGCCCACAGAGAATATCAACTGTGTTAATAAGGCCGCAGTACTGAGAAAACTGTCAAAGTCCAGGAAACCGTCCAGAACGGCCGTCGCGTTTTCTTGCCGACAAATAAAACCTTGCGAGAAAAATTTGTTCCAAAAAAGTTGTGAATTCTTTTGAGTATTTGAAACCATTCTGTTAAAAAAAAAAAAAAGCCTATTAAATTTAGTTTTAAGCAAGGTACCGAGCATTTTGAGAAAAATCTTCTTCTCAGCATTAAAAAACGGCCGAATCTGGCTATTTGATGCAAAATCCGGTGAAAAATCGGCAAAGACGATTTATAGGTTTTTTGATTAACACATTCGCCCCTGAGCCGCCCGTAACCGCCCATGTGGATCCACGTTCTTTCTACTGCTTGTGAAGTCATCAGTTTTGATTGTCAAGATAACTTTGTCCGCTAACTTGTGCAGAGTGAAGAGATCTTCAAACAAAGCCAGAATTAGCACAATTCAGTCAAAAACACCAGAGAAAAAGATAAAAAACTATGTAACATTGACCTTAAAGTTTCCATGAAAGTCTTGTTCTATTACCAACACCTTTCCTTTCGTCTAATCCTAAGATCCTAAAAGCTTTCCTAAAAACTTTTCCCACCAAATGAAGCCTGCTAAATGCCCAGCAGGAGAGAAAAAAATTGAGGCAAAAAAAGCGAAAAGTAGAAATCAAGACTGCTGTGTCACTTTAAACCCATACCCGAACTTTGATCAGAAGGCCGCGAAGTGTACGACCCGTGGATGGCTTTGTGGTAAGTTTTAGCTCTTCATAGCACGACAGTGACCAGAAAACCGCTCGACTAGCTTCAAAACGCGTTCTTCGGCTAAATCTCCAGGGGCGAATGGGTTAAGCTTATTTATGAATATGTGACGACAACATTTATTTATTGGCATTTCCATGAGTACTGACATTGCCGATTGCAATATTGATTACGTAAATTATTATGTTGATTAAGGTAAAGAGGAAAAAAAGAAAATAACGTTTATTATTGTAAGTATAATAATAATAATGGCAGCTATAACTACACGGAGAATTCTAACTATATTGCAGCTGTGTTGAATGTTCTACTTTCAAGTTTTTCGGAGGCCAAAAAAAAAAATGGCCTACTGTTTCTTGTAGACAAGAAAGCAACACAAGACATAATTTGCATTTTTAAACGAAAAACTTTTTCACCGATTTCATCGATAAATTCAAGTCAAACAAGTTAAAACTTCCAAACCAAATTTCGTCACCTTCTTTGTTATTTAATTTTTCGGGCAACACTTATTTGATTATTTGCAGAATTGTTTCATACGACAGCGAACCGGGAAGTCATTTTGCTCGCGATTTATATTACTCGAGTTTGGCGTCGCTCGCTCGAAGGAGCTAGAGGTGAACCAGTGAATAGCACTAGATATTCGGAGTTTGGTTAGTTAATCAGAGTGCGCGAAAAACACTATCCACTGTATATTTGGTATATTTGACACTAAAGGTGTAAATTTGGTTACCCTTGAGGGAAGCATGAAAACAGAAAATTCTATATGTTATGGCAAAGGTCCTCAATGGAAACGTGAAATTTGAGCTTGATTAAAAAAGGAAAGAAAACACGGAGGAAAATAAAACTGTTTTAAAATAAGAGTTAGTTTTAGAAGTTGTATGAATGAATTGGACTAACAGAAAAAGGGTCACCTATTCGCTTTGACTAAGCAGTTCTTGAGATTGGACCATAACATCAAAGGATTCTTCCTTACTTGGCAGTAATTCTTGATGTTCGGTTATACCATTTGCCAGAATCCACCAGGGCGTTTCCGAAGATTTAACGGGGAGTCATATTTTTCGCGATGAAAAGAAATTTTCCCATCGACGACTAACTTATCCCCTACGGCGGTTGCTTTATGGCTTGGCGTTAACCTGTTTTATCTTCTTCATTATAAGAGACAGGGACTTTTTTCCAGCTTCCTTGCATGTGCTTCGGTAGGTCTTCACCCATTGAAATTTAAGAGTTTTTCAGCCTCTAGCACCCCCCCGAACGCGATCTCTGTGAGCACGACGTAAAGCGAGCGAAGAAAGGTCAGGCTCTGCTTCTGTTTGGCTTGTCAAGACGGGGTGCGCCGCAAAGCTTCACATTCGAGACTTCTCCCCCTGGCAGGCTTAAATTTTAAAGTTGAGACGTCGCGTACCAGCTAGAAGCAATCTTCGTCTCTGAGCTCGTTGATTCCCAACAAGTGGACCACTCGTTTTCGCAGTTCGCAACGCGTTCTACAAGGTCATAATGTTCACTTTTGGTGGACTCAAGGGAATCTCTGGTCTTGTCCACTGTCTTTTTGACTTCACGGAGTTTTGACTTCATCTATTCTAGCTTCCAGGTTAAGAATTCGTTCTTCGCGGCTTTTACTATTATTTTCAATAGCTGTAAGTCTTCGTATGAGACTCTAGCATTCCTTTATTGTTATGTAGGCGCCACCTTCTTGGGCTGCTTCGATGGATTCAGTGTCGGTGCAAGAGCTGCTTATCCCTGGCCGCTTATTATCTAAATCTTTGTTTTAGGGTATTTCTGAAATAAGGGTATTTCTGAGCTGTATTTACCTGTAAAAATACCCGGGCAATTTTGTAGCATCTTCCACGCCATTCTTGGAAATCACTTCTGGTAGTGAAAGCATGCTAAACTTGAATTTCTTGTAGCTCTTCTTCAAAAGCTGTAGCACGCCTGGCCTGGTAACAAAGTCATGTCTGACGAAATTGTTAATGGCCATCACAGATCGAAGATGAGGGAAGAGAATTTTAAAGACAGGATGAACTGAGGGCAAATGGCGCCAAGCGGCCACCGCAAACGGTTCCATGACGAAATGAGTCTTGAGTATATGAGTGTTGACCTTTAGGAAAAATGAAAATATATATAAAAATAATATGCAAATTATAATTTTTTTTCTTGCGTATACGTGGCAATTCTGGAATTATAAAAGCCGTAACATTCTAATCCAAGATGGCGTCCATTTGTGATAATAATCTTGTTAACAACGCAAACTCCGTAAGATTTTTTTGGTAGCTGCTTAATAAAATAACTGATTCGGCCATCCCTTTGCCCGGCCCAAAAAGTAAAGACGCCATTCGTGAAAATGATAATAAACCAAAATAACTATTTCTGTTTTTTACAATTTTTAATATAGCTTCCGAACTAAATATGTGTAAACTAGGTCTGAATTCCAAAAAAAGGCCAATTGTTATTAGCATAAGATCTTCTCATTAAAAAAATTGTATTTTCCTCTGTTACAGGGCTGTTGTAATAGAGGTTAAGTTGAGTTGAAGGTTTGGTTAGAGTGGAAGTCACTTATCTTATCCAGCTAGTTTACAAACACACCACTGAAATAACGTAACAGGGTTAAAAACCACAACTGGAAGGAGGCAACTATTTGTCTATTTACAAGCGTGGTCAGGAATTTGAACTCGAGACAACCGAGAAAAAATTCATTAAGTAGCCAGAAACCGGGACTGTCGGATTGCGATTCCGACGCGCTGACCACTCCGTGATTTAAACAGGAAACGCTTAGACATTTCCCAAACTAAATAGCTGTAACATTAGGACCTCGATTAATGTAGAAAGCTGCCTACCTGTTGCATTCTTAAGTCAGCGTAACGAAGCCACATCTTCGCCAACAGCCAATCATATTGTGAATCGCCATGGGTCCATATTGGGTTGGTATCACTGGGTTGCTGAAACAACTGTATGGCAATAGGCACCAGGTCTCCAGAGCTGTTAACGTAGAAGAGCCCTAGGGGATGAGCAGTGTAGCTCGTCTCACCTTCTTCCCAGGATTCAGTTATGTCTTCCAGCTCTTTGTAGTCCACAATGTATACGTGGCCCTCCTAGTATCGGAAGATGGCATAGAATTGAGAAATTTCTCTAATAATTGTGGTCACGAAAAGGTTTTTTAAACCCCACTTTTCTTAATAGTACATACCGTGAAAAAGTAACTTTTTTTTTCAGTAGCCTAGGTAAGAACCCTGCCAAGTTATATATATAATTATGAGGCGCATGAAGCGAAATGACTCGTAACCTTTTCTTCACGAGTAACGGCCCAAATCAAAAAAAGAACTGGTTTCTTATTGAAAATTAGTGTTCTCCTCACGGGATGTTCCAATTTTGTACCTTCATTTCCTGCTCCAATGTTAGCCCACGATCCAGTGCACTTTTCACTAACGCGTCTGTAACTGGAAAATTACTTGGCAATTTCTCGCAGCGCTCGAGAGCGTTCGGGTTGCAACCGTTTAAGAACATCGATCCGTAGACACTGTCCGTCATCCAACGGTCACCTTCCACAACTTTTGGCACTCCTCCGTAGGGCCTGCTGAGGATCTTTTGAAAGTCATCGAAATTATCCCAGGTCTCGAAGAGAGTAGCCAGGTTAGAAAGACCAAAATCTATCACCGCCTTCTTTTTATCGTCAGCAATTGAGCTTTTGGCCTCGTGTGAGAATTGTGAATCTCTTGGGATATCAGAGTGCTTGGTGGCTTGCAGTTGTCCAGGAAGGTCTTGGAAGCCTGGAAAGGTTCCCCATTTGTAACTTTCCTGGCGTTGCTGCAGTTCAATGTGTCGTTGAGTTTTGAGGCATTCTTGTTGATCTTCGAAAGGAAGGATAGCTAAAGAGTTTAAAAGAGAGTTCATGTTAATGGTCTTAATCACACAAATATAAAAGAGCCAGTTACTTTGAGTGGCCTTGAGGGTCGGCGTTAGAGAGGTTTTTTTGTTTTGTTTTGTTTTCTTAGTGTTAAGCCATAACGCTTTTTTCTATTAAAATACTCTTATTTAAAAAACATATACTCCGAAATATATTTTATGACCAGTTTTACCCATTATTTGAGTTTCTCACTGCCTATTTCTCTTTTATTTTAATGGCTGTTTCTTTTGAGTTTACTGTCGTTTGGGTCATTTTGGGTATCAGCTACCCACAGTCACCTTCCCAAATGGTTTAGGCATAACCCAGTTTCCATATGGAATAGCAGCTAAGCGCGATGCCACTCCGTCTTATTTTGGCATCAAAACCATCGCCAGGTCAATTCCCAAGCGTTATGTAGTGATTGTCAGAAATTTGCAAATGGAGCAGAGCTAATAACGCATTGTTCTAGTTGCGCATCACCTTATACAGCTTTCCTATATCATGCTAAAATCAACGATTTCCTTATACTCGCCTTTTCCTTCAAATACAACTAAATCCGACAATACCCAGCGATAGCAAGGAAACTCAAAGGGATCTTCCTGAGTAGAACTTATGACTGAGATCCTGTTTACAAACCAATCAGGATTCTTGTACCACCAGCCACCGCCATCATTGTGAAGATGGACCATGAGTACCTCGCCTACATCCATGGCCTCCACCGAATACTCATCAACATCTCCACTTTCAAAGTCATTGCCCCAGTTGTCTAACTTAATCATATCTGTCTTCCCTCCGGTTCCTACATGTCGAAAATTTTTATAAAAACAATTATGCTCAAATGACCATAGAAACAGGACAACTTCTCATAACCTGCTTTAGAATTAAAGCTTTCCTTTAGCCAAAAAATATAAATAAGTTAAAAATTCCCAGCGGCTTAGTGAGCAAAGTGTAAAATTTATCTAGATCCTCTGGATTACATGGCCTTCGAAATGTTGCATTCAGGCTTTACCCGGTCAAACGTTTTTTGCAACTATTTTCCTGAAGACTGGTTCTGTTCGAACTACTCCCCCAAAATAAATACACAACATATTATACCTGCTTTTTCATGGTCATCAGGGTTCACGTGTAGCAAGGACGAACACACAAAATAATGTTTGGCCCAAATAAAGTTAAACAGTTGTCCTACCTGTCAGGGAGATGGATATAGTGGCATCTGTTCCCGCCCCTGAGTGGCTTCCAGTTTCTACCCTGATTAGATAAGAGGCCATGTTATCTGGGATGACTTTATTTGATCTCATGGAGCGCAGCTTCTGAGACCAAGCGTACACCGCATTTCGAATATGAAGAACAACACTGGGATCGTCAACAGACTGGGCTGGTAATAAATCAATGGAAGGCGGAAGGTTGCGAAATGTGAATTTCAGACGCTCTGTTGCCTTTGGAGACAACAGTGACGTCATTTTGATGTCAGCCAGATCCAGCCACGGATGTGTACTTTCATCCCATTCCCTCCCAACCTGAAGTATAAGATGCGAGTCTTCGGGTTTAGCTTCGTGGAGTTGAAGTTGAAGCTTGTACTCAAGAGTACCCTTGCCGATACGCTCTTTATACTCTCGCTTGAGATAGTCTGGAGGAAGGTTCTCATTTGGAAACCTTTGGTTGAAGTCCCTGTTTTGAAAAAAAAGTTAAAGTTTACGCCTGCTTTCGCACAATTCTAAAGTAGCCTTGGTTGGTATACTGGCTTTCGGGTGCACATCACCGTGGAGTAGTGCCATGTTTAGTTGAACTCAACAATCAGGCGGGACAGAAAATTGGCACAGGTGGGCTATTATCACCTCTGTGAGACCCAGTAGTTTTAAAAGATAATGCTTGCGCCAGGAAAAAAAATATCTGCAAAATGTTAATTGGCGATAACTCCTTTAACCCGCGTTGGATAAGAGGTGGTGTGAGTAGCAAACAAGACTGCTTTCTCTCGATTCGTTTATTTTCGCAAAACGTCCTCAGTGATGTGTATGGGATTCAGGATATCGTTCCGTTCCAGTTTGCTGCTGTCGCTGTTGCCTCCCCGAGTTCCAAATAAGGTAAATGGTCGATATTCGATGTGAAGTAAACCAGTAAAAAGGCTAAAAAGGGATTTCTGATCTTCAGAATTAAATTATACATCTTACAATCTGATCAAAGCTAGTGTGGTGATGTCCTTAACTTACCAAGGATGCCATTGGACTTCTTCAGACAATAAGCCCGTCTCCGGTGATCCGTCGGCTGGAATCATTCGAAATCTCACGTAACGTTTAATGCCATCAAAGGCTTTGAAATTTAGTATGACCTCAGTATAATACCTCTGATCGTAAAACGAGTCAGGTTTTAGGCGCAGACCACCGATGTTGGCAGCGAGGCTACAATCGGATAACAAAAACAAGTAGTGTTATTTCTTAATGCCTTTTGATGAGAATGTGAGAAGCTTAACAATATTAGTCCAACTGAATGGCGGAATAGTAAACAATATAAGAATATTTAACAATTATTCCATGAGAGCGCGTTGGATATGAGATGATAGGTAACAAACGAGGCGCGTAGCGCCGAGTTGGCTATAATCATCTCATAACCAACAAGCGCGAGTGGAATAATCGTCTTATTAAAAACGCCCACAAAATCTCGTTGAATCTCCCCGACTAGAACAAACCGGAAAAGACTAGGGACTTCCGCTATTCACATGTCACACGTCTATCAAAACTGTCAACGCGCGAACAGACTCGCCTGGACTGCATGAATGAAAAAATCAAAACATTGTAGCGATGAACATCAGTTTTTTAAAAACTCATCGGGATTCTAGGATTTTATACAGCAGAACAGCTAAAAAACCTGGCAGATAATGTGCAGGAAAAGAGTTTTTAGGTGACAGCCGTCGAAATTATTGTGAATGTGGATTTTCGGTGCAGCTATAAAAGCAAGAACAACGGAGAAAAACTATTACCTCGGTCGTTTGTTACGAAGTTGTTTGAAGCCACAAGCCTATTTTGCTGAACGAGAAAAGAAGCTATACTGCCGCCTCGATTGCTCTAGTGAATGGCTGCATAGCCTGTATTTGTAGCTGGTTACTTGTGATTTATATTCTTGATGTCGGATAAACATGCCACAGTTATCTATCGGCGAGTGACTCGATCGGCGAATGGCTTCGCGATCATGAAGAAACAACACTTGTCCTTTTTCGTAGCTGGTCAAGGTACTTTAGTTCCATGTGTTTTCATGTGTTTTTCGACAAACTTTCAAACAAGCTCTTGTGGCTTTTTTGTTTGTTTTTGTCTTTTTTCTTCGATGAAATTGCATTCCTAGTATTCTAAAAAATGAATTAAAACGATTTGCCTCGGGCGCCGTTCTATCCTTCGCGAAAAAAAAAATCTCAGCTGACTTCCAATTTTAAAGTGAGGCGTACACCGACCATGTATGGAGAGCATGGTATAATAGTTCATATACCATAACGGCTAAGCCAATCACAATGCTAGAATTGCATTATCCAATGATCCAGTTTTTGATAATAAATGATAGACTGTAAATTAATCAGTCACAACTATAAAAGTTCGTATGGACTGATCTGGGATGGTCTATTCACCAACTGGTAGTTCAGATTTGTTTTTAAACCTCGGCTGCATGACCCTCAATTTCTTGTACTTGAGCCTTTCCACTTTTTATTCTAGTTCTTTATGGGAAACTGATACCACTGTCTTTCCTAAATTAAATACGCCCCACGTCTCTATTAAACCTCCCGTGAGCGGGGAAGGAGGGGGGCGGCGTTATCGGGACTTTATAGAGGATTTTCGGTAATTTTCTTTAAACTGCAGTTTAGGTAGTACTTCATGTAAACCTCGCTTTTGCATTACCTTTTTGTTGTTGTTAGTGATTTGGGTTTGTTTGTTGGTCTGTTTTTTTGCACGAACTGCACGTGCAGCTTTACGAGGAGCTGGTGCATTGCACGCACAAGTCGTGCAAAAAACAAAAGATATTACAAAAGTTTGTCTTAAATGAAGCACCACTCAAACGGGAATTTAAGTATCATGCTGTTTTTCACTTTGGCCATTTACTTACTTGTCAGGGCTGAGCAGATGATACGATTTTAAATCTCCTGAAATTTTAGCTCTTACAGCGTCAAAGATCGCTTTAGAGCTCCACAGGGGAGTAGTCGGTCCAGTTCCCATGACAAGATCACATGGGCTTTCTTCATCCTCACTTCCAACAAATCTCAGCGCCGCACCGCAGAAATCGAGCATCACGTCATCAACTGACTGGATAGTGGCGTGACGGATGCAAACTGGGTACGAAAGTCCTGGTGTAAAGAACTCACAAGCCGGAAACTTGGGATTGGAGACAATTGTGGCGATGCCCTCGCTTCCGACACCAACAGGATGAGTGCCCCTTTGTCCCTTGATCATCGCTTTTGCGCCAAACAGCAGCTTAAGTTTATTTGTATCATAAGCGATTCTTGCTGCATCGAAAAGTCCAGGTGGTGGAAGAGGCTAGAATCAGGGCAAGCAGAAACCAAATTATTAGAGAAAAAAGATAACATTTCGTCCTCCAGTGACCTTACCCCCAATTATCAAATAATTCAGGGACTCATGTCATACTCTTTTTACGTATGTCATACTCTTTTTTCCTTTTTCAAAGGGGGTGATGAGTTTTTGCCTTACCGTCATTTGTTGTTTTTTTTGTTTGTTTGTTTTGCTTCATTTTATTTTTATTTTTAAAGAAATCTGGGTATTGTCTTTTGATTGAGTAGTTCATAGTACTCACAGCTCTTACAATTATTTTCGTAACCACAGCATAGTAAGGAGGTTTTGAACTGTCACTGCACAAACTTGCCAAGGTCGACCTCGCCGCTTCAATTTCGCTGAGTTTAAAGCTTAACTCATGAAAACGTATTCGAGCAATTCACACCATTCAACCCATCGACGCAGTACTCTTGTAATGTGATTCTGATTCTATCGGTAATTAATGGGCGATTAAAATATTCGAGTTAGGGAATTCACATTGGCAAGCCGTTCACGCTTTTCACATTACCTATAATACTCGTCGTTTACGTCGGTTTCTCTTGGAGCGACTATGATACGCAGAAGAAATTTGAAACAATGGTTATGTACAATTTTGGTTGTAAGCTAGGTGCGGTTAGCCTCGAAGCTTAGGGATATAATGCGAAAGAAAACGCGTTATACAAGATTCAGGGATGAGTAAGTAAAAAATAATTTCTTTTGTTTTATTCTCCTCAGCCTTAGAGTTAGAGCCGGATATGAATTTTGATAACTTTTAACTGGTCTATTGCAATAACATGGTCATAGGAAAATGAAAAAATAATAAGAAAGTAAAATGAGAAAAAGACATGAATAGCAATACGTTTGGCACGTTCACGACATTCAGAGATCTGGTCTGAGGAAAGATTGAAGCAGAAAACGTCTTTACAGTGGTCAAGTTACCCTCTCTCAACACAATTGATGTCAAACTGTAGTATTACTGAGTGCAAAAGTGTTTTCATGATTATCAAAATATCAAAACGAAATTTGCATGGCTAATTAATTCTGATTTGGCTGTTTTCTTTTTTCATGCAACGTTAGTGTAATTAGGTGTGCACCTAATTGCAAAACGTTGTCATGGAAAAAATGAAACAGGGAAAAGCCAAATAGGAATTAATTAGGCTAATGAGCCTTATGAATTCATTTGCAGCATCCGCACATAGACGTCGTATTTGCCTGTTGGAATTTGTTATTGTTTTAAAACTGAAAAACAGTTAAAAAAAAAAAAAAAAACGTTCCAGCGGGGAAGTGCAACGGCTGCAAATGAATCCACCCTAAGAATGTGGCTTGATTATCCTCATTAATGGCCATTTCCGAGTTCCAAAAAATCTCACTCTCAAAACGAGGCTGACTGCGAAACCTTTGTTGTGAAAATGAGTTTTATTTGCATCATAATTAAAAATCATTTTCATATCAATGGCCTCCCACTTACCCTCGCTTTGAAAGTGAGATTTTTTTGGAACTCGGAAATGGCCTATTCCTATTTGGCTTTGTCCTTTTTTCACTTTTTAGGACAACGTTAATGCAATTAGGTGTATATATGCCAGGGAAATTTACAATTCCCCATCCATTAAATAATTGCTTCTTTTCCAAAATGAAGGGTGGAGGACCTACATGCACAAGGTCTTTTTTGAATTTATTCTTCAACGTTTCGCAGGCCTAAAAAGGCAGTTGTTGCCTTATGAACAATTAATTAGTACCCTTATTTTCCCCTATAATTGCAAGCATCTCTTTAAAGCTTACTTCAAGCTATTTTTCTGGGCTGATGTTAATAATTATTATAGTTAAGAACAGAAAATAGAGCTTTAAACTGACTTTTATATCAAAATATGTAGAACTTTCGGTAGCAACATTAACTTTTTGAATTTTTTTTTTTTCGGGTTTGCAGTACGCAATTACAACTTTTCATGCCTTAATATAGGGCTTTAAATTCGTACTGAAATTACTCCACAGTTCTTTTGCCCCATGTAAGTGGAAATTTGCCTGCAGAATCCGAAATAATCCAGCAAATTTTGAACAAAGAATCCAGAACCCCAGTACCTGGAAACCGGAATCCAGAATCCAAGACAGTCTTGGATTCCCTTCTAAATACTGTACCTTTTCAAACTCTTCAATCTTCTGTTTGAACAGCTCTTCTCCCATAATACCTTTGTAAACTTCATACCCAATGTTTCTCCCTGAGAAGGAGGCATATTTAGTCTTTAATACATGTATATAATGCAGCGTATATGAAGCCTCAACAACGGCCTCCATGCACGTAATACTCCCTTTTTGAAAAGTTTAGCAACCGAGAATTATGTGTTCACCGTTATGTCCCACATTTGCTTGGTCCCTGTACAGAGTTTTCCCAATCGGTCAATTCACTTCGGTGACCACGTGACCCGAACGCTTTGGCCGCGCGGAATAATGAGACCTAGGGACTAGGCAAGTCCCGCAGTAGTTGCTTAGTACCTGTGTGCAATTTTCGCCAGTCAGATATTTACGGGTCACGTAATTTACTGAGGCATATCCGTCCTGAAATCCTTCAAAAATCCATATGTCAATATATTTTTTCCCAGTATCCAAAGGAATGTCTAGCAACCTTACTATCAATTTAATTTGCTAATTAATTCTGTTTCTTTTTTATTAAGTGTATATTTCTTCTGTATTTCAGTATCTATGTTTATGTAATGTGTGTAAGAAGCAAATAAATAAAATTTTTAAAAACGTATCTCAAGGAACTAAGAGACGTTTTCTTAAGGCTTAAATGATCTGTGTCACGAAATTAATCAAACTTCAAACAGTAGTCAAGAGAGCTGCTACCAAGATGAGTCAAAACATAAGTTAAAATGATCGCTCAAAGCATTAAACTGAAAGTGTAAATAATACAGCAAAAACAAAAGAAGGCAAGGATGAACAAATTAAAGAAGACAAAAACAGGTTGTAGTTGCGGTTTTTGGAACTAAAACTTGTCAGCCTAACAATTTTAAAGGGTTTGCCTAAGATCCGGAATCCGGAAGAAACCGGAATGACTCTGAATAGTCAGGTCGCTTAGCGTCAGTATCGTTACTGGCCGGATACAAGCACCAATTTTTGTATGCACTCTTTTTTCGATGTAAGAATTAAATTTAGTCGTGGATCCATCGAAAATATTTCTCTATCTCATCAAAAAGAGCGTGGAAAAATTAGGTTAATTTGCATAAATTCAAAATGGCGGCGCTAAGTACTAAAATTTTAAACAACCCTAAATTCGTCGCACTTGTAATGCAACTATAACCCGTGTTTGTTAAAGTAATGAAAAATGATGATAGGACTGAGTGCTGCAGTCCAATTCGCTCTTCAGTCATACGAGTTTAAAACATGATTACGATTACAGACCGGCATGGACAACACGAAGATCTTAGTTCACCAATCACTCAAAACCATAACAAAATGTTTCATAACTTTAACCTTTCCAACCATTAGAATATAACTTTTTCGAGAGTTCTTTTGCTTGACGTTTAAAAAGAATCTACTCAAGAGCGCGTGGGCGAGATGGCACGTACTGTTTGATTACTTACGCATGACGCTTTCTGATCTATTAAACTGTTCATTAAGCTCAAATCAGCACCTCCGTAGGCCAATCAAACTAGAGAATTTTGTTGGGTAGGTATGATTTAAATAATAAAAATATTATTAAATTAATGACAAAAAATCAATTGATGTTTTGTTCAATAAATCTTGATTACCCTTTTTTTACTCTGAGTTAACACGCTCTCGAAATTAAATGATCGTCATAGGTTGTTTTAATAAGGCATTCCAGTTAAACAGAATATTTTCCTGGCAATTGCGGGGAGTATCCAGGAACTTTCGAAAACTAGTTACTGGGCAACTAAAGAAGAACGTTCTTAGTGCCTCCTTTTTCCTCTTAGATCAGTTACTAAAACTACTCCTGATTTGAAAAATACGACTGACAGTTACTGTAAATCGGTATGTACTTTAAACATCTAAAGTTTCATCTCCTTTCATCTCAGTTGACTGCGAGCGCTGCAATACCAATTGCAATTACAATTACAAAGCGGGAAACACTTCAAGTTCGCTTTGCCACATTTGCAGTTGGAACAGTCTCCCTTGCATGTACACTTGATTAAATCTTGACAGGCTGTAGAAAGTTCTGGAACAGTTAGCCAAAGTGGGCTCCACACATTGTCTACTTGTTCTCAGCCATAGTCGCTTGGGGAAGGAATCATCTGCTGTACTTGGGTACTTATAACCCAGATAAAAGCTTGGTAGACAGCCCTCTTCGTGTGTTGTAGGAGGGCATTCTGCGTCGGTGGCATCCTTTCCATTGTGACGTTCTTTAGACAGAACAGTTCCCTCCTTGTCTGGTTGATTGAAAGTGAAGTGCTCGTTTTGTCATAGACGAGGACGATCAGCCGCTCAATCTTACAAAAATTCTCACAGTTGGAATCAAGGGGCTCAAAAGGATGGAAGCTAGGTAGACAAAAGTGTCTGTAACCTCTTCAAACGCCATCCAAGCTTGCCAGAACGACTTCTTCCCTTTTCCCCAAAAAGCAGAGGTTGTGTCGCATCCAGAAATCACGCGTGAAGCATTGGTAGTGCTTGTAACCTTTTTGTGCCAAGGCTTGTGGACAGAGCATTGATGCTGTAAAGTCTGTAGTTCTTTCCGACTCCAAAGCGACACAAATATCAGCCTTGGGCTGTGACAGTAACAGCTTGTGAAAGACACCAATAAGGACACCAACAACATCAGTGTCCACAGTGCGAACTTGCTCAGTCGTCAATCCCTGTTGAAGTGCGTGTAGTGCATGAACCACAATTCTTGCGCCGGCCTCTTCATGATTGCGGTTTGGCATGGAACTGGATGAGCATACCGTTAGCACTGACTCTTCCGAAGTGATGTAAACGGCCCTTCCCTCGGGGAAGACAAAGTTTGCCACTTTATAGGTTAGAAAGTCAAACAGCTCTTTCTTGTTTGATGAATCATGCAGAAAGTCTGACCAGTTTCGTGGTAACTTGGTTTCTCCGGATACCTTTCTGCGGACCCCCTTTCCTCTCTTCTGACGAGTCGACTCCTTTAAAATTTCCGGTCTGTATGTGTCCCATACAACGTCCAACCTCTCTGTTCCTTGTAGGTGACTCTGAAGATGAGGGATGAAAGCCTTCTCTGTGTATTCTTTGAATGTTGTAATTCCAGCGATGGACAAGCAGTGTACGATGACAGCACCATCTAATACTTTACAGCTGAATGTTTCAGGTGGCGTAGATTCATGTAGTGGCTCAAGGCATTTCATAAATTCAGACTTTGTACCCGGCAAATAAAGTTTGCCGAACTCTGACAATGAGGGAGGAAAGGATTGGACTTCATGACAAAAGAATTCTTCCAAATACCCTTCACGGCTCTGCATTGAGATATACAACTGACCAAAAAGAGACACATTATTTTCAAGAGCTTTAATCCTCCTTCCTTGCTTCGACTTAATCTTTGGACTGGGTTTTCTGAATAGTGCTGGCTTGTTTAAATTAATGGGTTCATGAACAGATCGTTTTCGTTCTTCCAGTGCTTCTTTGACAAAGTTACTGTATTATCCCTTCCCTGTGTCTTCAAGGGTGTACGATGCTGCTATGACTGATTCATCAGCGCAATCTCGACTGTCTAGGACACAAGATCTGAAAAATCGGCCAAGAAAGGGTTCCCCATCTTCCTTATGATGCTAGAGATACTAGTGACCTGCAATCCAATCTTCAAGCTGTAAAACCCTTTCGTAGGAAATGCAGATTCCCAGCTGGTGCAACTGATTGATGAGATGCTTACTTCTGGTCAGGCCATGTGTGTTCAAGCCAATGTAAACAGGGAGTGGTGGCTCGCGCTCTAACGAATGTCTTGGTTTTGCCTCTGGATCAGCAGTTGATCGTTTCTTAGCGTTAAAGACTATGGCCTGGCCAATAGTGAGGCATGCTTGGGACTCTTGTTTCTCTTGGTTTTTCAAGTTGGATCCATTGACAATTAAGGAAATGAGGGTCTTGAGACTTGATGGCAGTGACGTGTCTTGACACCGACATGTCTTTCCTTATTATAGAAGCAGCCCTGGCCAAAATTAGTGCGTCTTCTGAGAAGTCTCTTTTCTTTAAGGCGTCTTGAATCATGTTACGCATTCCTTCTTTGAAAACTAGGAAAGTGTTCCTGCCGTCGAACTGTTCTTGAGCTTCCTTGAAGTATTCCAACAAGCGCTCCTTTAGCCTGGTCTTGTTTACTGATTTCGCATTACCTAGATCCTCCAGGCGACTTTCATATAAAGAGTGCAGCTCCGACAATTTAATCAGGGGTTTTCCAGAATTGACTTCTTTTTTAACATAACTTGCCAGCTTGACAAACACGCGGGAGTTACACACGTTTTCATCAATATTTTGCTTATCCTTGTTTGATTTTCTAACGTGACTGCGATATCTGTTTTTCAATTAAATCAAGCATTTCAGATGATACTTTGCTCCGATCGCAATAAGATCTCCTCCAATTATTCTCACAAGTATTCGGGAATCATTAAGCTCTGTTACTATTGTTCTTATATTTGCGTCTGTCTCAAATGTAGACACCTGCACCGTAATTTTTAGGGAGTTATTATAACTCCAAAAATGGAGTAAAAATTTTAGGTACAGGATAACCCCTTTTTTGGGGTTATTTTAACTCCTAATTTAACTCCGAATTTGGGGTCATTTTTACTCCTGAAAAAGAGTTCTTTTTACTCCCAGTCGTGGAGTTAAAATTACTCCGAAATGGGGTTACTTGTACTCCTTACAGGGGTTGTTTTCACTCTTTTTGGAGTTAATTTAACTCTGAAAGTGGAGTAAAAATTTTAGGTACAGGATAACTCCTTTTTTGGGGTTATTTTAACTCCTCAAAATCTGTGGTCACTTTTACTCCTGAAAAAGAGTTCTTTAAACTCCTTTTTGGAGTTAAAATAACTCCACGAAAAATAACTCCACTGTAAGGAGTTAAATTAGCCCCACTAGAGGAGTTATTATAACTCCCTGAAAATTACAGTGTATAGTTTTCACTAAGTCTCTAATACCCCCAATACAACAAAAACAATCCAAATCAGTATTTTATTTCATCTGAAAAATACTGTACAGTGAAACATGCACGTGTCACTCATTATTATGTCAGGTTAGTGACACAGAGGAGAGGCACAGATAAGAACCAGAATTCTTCAGGCTAAGATTTTGAAAGAACCAGATGAAGTAGAAATGTTAAAACAGATCGCTATGGAGTTCTTAAAGTCCACTAATCATTCTAATGGCAAAAAAAAAAAGTTTCTATTGGCTTAAATTGCAGTCATTTAGACATAACAACATGCATATTTTGTACAAACATTTAAAACCTCCAACATTCTTACAAAAAGTCTTTTTTCCTTAAGAAAATAAGAACCTTGAATGTTTGAGAACCTAAACAGCTTAATTTCCAAGAAACAGAAAATTTATAAGAGCCTTTTGAGGCTAACTTCGAAAAAAGCACCTATTACTTAGTCCTTACTGTATACTACTAAATGTAAGAGCAGGAGGGGGGGAGGGGGAGGAAGAGTTAGGGTTAGGGTTTTAGGGTTAAGGTTAAGGTTGGGGTTAGGGTTAGGTTAGGGTAAGGACTAGGGATAGGTTAGGGTTAGAATCAGATTAGGTCGAGGTTGGGGTTAGGGTTAGGAATAGGTTAGGGTTAGGTTGGAGGTTAGGGTTAGGAATAGGTTAGGGTTAGGTTGGAGGTTAGGGTTAGGAATAGGTTAGGGTTAAGTTGGAGGTTAGGGTTAGGTTGGAGGGTTAGGGTTAGACGAGCAGTCTCAACTGATTTCAATGGTCATAACACATGAGTTGATCCACTGAGTTAAACGTTCGCCTTGTCAGGAAAAGGGTGTTACGTTAAGCTGGTTAGGGTGGATAGCTAAAGTTGAGCTAAGGCTTAGGGTTAAATAAGGATAAAGGTTACAAACAAGAAGTACGGTTTGTTGAGGGTTAACGTTTGAGGGACTGCTGGGCAGGATACCAAATAACGTTGCGTTACATATCAATTACATCGCCGTACTGAGCGTAGGATTGAATTTCAAAAGACGGGTCAGGAGGTGAGAAATACAGAGATGTAGTTTCAATACAGGCGATTTTCGAAGACTAAACACTGGTCAAGCAAATAGTTTTAAATTAACGTTATCTTACAAGACGTTTCGCTTCGCTTTCTTCGTGTTTGACCACAGCAGAGCACAGATAATATAAACATTTCAGAGAGTAAATATTCCAGCTCCGAGGTGGCGAGTAAAACCAACGGCCACATCTGAAAGAAAAGGACAAAAGGAAAACCTTGTTTAAAGAAAATTCCTCAACACATGTTTAAAAAGTAATATATCTCTTTTACATCATTTTCCCTAGATCAGTTTCGTCCCGCAATGGTTTTATAATCGCCCGTACCGGTGCATAAAGCAGATTAAAAACATTGTACCGAACATTCCAGACAATCAAGCATAAACGGCGCTCGTCGTCGCGACGGTGCTATAGCGCGGGAACTTTAACATGCTTTGAGGAAAAATAGTTACTCTTCCGCGATCCGATCAGCATTTAGCTTGCAATGCCAACAATAAATTGAAAATGAACGACAATTCAGCCTGTGCAGTAGGACGGCGGCTCTTTTTGGACACAGTAAATTTCCAGAGTCGCTCGACACATGACCAAAAATAAACCTTCGCTATACGAAACCACAGACTTTGACTTCAACTACACTTTCACGACTTTGTAACATAACCTTTCCTGGCAAAAAGCCTGCTACTCACCGTTGTTGCTCGCTTATTCAAAGATCAGCACCTCCGTCGTAGAAACTGAAACACAACAACAGAACAGTCTCACTGTAATGGTCAAATATTAAACATGTTGTTAACCTTTCTCGCAGTGCATTCTGGGAAATCCGTGTTCAACTCGTGCGGGACACATTACATCCTGGCAATAACAACACAATTTATAAGTCTCCAGCAAGGCAAAAATCACAGCCAAATACTTCGTTGGCCCTCTTTTCTTATGTCCAAACTAACCAATTTGCCCCTTATTGCCTGCTGGAGACTTCTTCACGGTGTGCAGAGCTGGGCAGAGACGTTATACACCATCCACCGGATGGTCTCTCGGATTGTGCCCGAAGCTCGGTTCTTTGAGCAACGAGCGCCCATTTAAGCCTTCCCGGACTTAATGATGTCCCAGGCACTTTGCAAACCGTGGAAATAGAATTTCTTGCCAAACTCGGCTCATATTAGTCCCCGTTTCGCACACGCTCTGATCAAAACCTCTCCATTCACGAAGAGAGCCGTTGAAAGGAGAAAGATACCGCGCAAACTCGAACCTTTCAAAACTAGAACCGGTTCCCCTCGGACAAAAAAAAAACCGGAAGTCCTTTCTAAAGCGAGTAAAAAGAAAACAAGAAATAAAATAAATAATAAACTTACTTCTGTTGACTTCCACGCTGCTCCTCCCTGGTTTTCTTTAATGAAAAATATCTATGATAAAAATGACATTTCATAAAAATAATTTACATATATAATATACACCGTAATTTTTAGGGAGTTATTATAACTCCAAAAATGGAGTAAAAATTTTAGGTACAGGATAACCCCTTTTTTGGGGTTATTTTAACTCCTAATTTAACTCCGAATTTGGGGTCATTTTTACTCCTGAAAAAGAGTTCTTTTTACTCCCAGTCGTGGAGTTAAAATTACTCCGAAATGGGGTTACTTGTACTCCTTACAGGGGTTGTTTTCACTCTTTTTGGAGTTAATTTAACTCTGAAAGTGGAGTAAAAATTTTAGGTACAGGATAACTCCTTTTTTGGGGTTATTTTAACTCCTCAAAATCTGTGGTCACTTTTACTCCTGAAAAAGAGTTCTTTAAACTCCTTTTTGGAGTTAAAATAACTCCACGAAAAATAACTCCACTGTAAGGAGTTAAATTAGCCCCACTAGAGGAGTTATTATAACTCCCTGAAAATTACAGTGTGGCGGAGATCTCCATCATCTTCTCGAGTTCCCTTGCTTCTCACACAAAAAACACACTTCACTGTTCAACCGTTGTCGCTTACCGCGAGAGCTTGTTTCTGTCGAATCACTGCTGCGTTTCCTTTTCAGTTTTGCTCTTTCAAGTTTGCAGCTGCTAAAGAATCAATACCTTGAAACTGCTTTACGTGATTAAGAAAATTCGTATATGCGTCTTTTCTATTTCCTTTCTTTACCGGGTTTTCCAAAGGACATTTTAAAGCTTCTGAGGTTTCGTCTGGCATATAACACATAGGTTCCAGTCTAGCTCCATGTTTTGCGGTCACAAGCTAAAACAAATAAGGAATTTCTATAGCAATGTATATATGCTACAATGTTGGCTGTTAATTAAAACTGAATTTAAGCTACAGTAAAACGGGCAACAAAAAAAACGTGCAACTTGTTTTGAAACATTGCTGCAAAACGAGTTGAATAGAGATGTTTCGCGTTTTACCACCGACGTTCGAGCCTATCTTGTAACAAATAAGGTTGCAAGGTTTTTTTCGTAGGTGGTAAAACGTGCAACATTGCTATTCAACTCGTTTAGCACCAATTTTACAAAACAAGTTGCACTTTTTTGTTGCCCGTTTCACCGTACTTTTAAGGAAAATTTCACTATAATTTATGATAGCTTGGACCTCTATAGGTTTCTAAATATAACAACAATGTCTTTAACTGCAAAACTACAAGTAACATTGTATACATACCAGGTTAAGAAGCACTGCATTTGGTCCCAACATAAAAGCACCACAACAACATGGCGTCTGAAACAGCGCCCGAGACTTTGAACATGCTTTTGTTTTGAGAGAAATTATTCAAATTGCACGCAAAAATCCACGTGGATCCACGGATAAAAATGTTTAATAGTAATTAAGAAAACAATCTGGTGATTTTGATGCTTGCATCCGCTGTGTAACGTTTCCGCGAAAAATTGGAGTTAAGCGACCTGACTAGAAGATGATTAGGGTTGGGAAACTGAGTGAGTCAGGTTCCATTGGCCGTTTTTGCGCTAGAGACGGATTATCCGTTGGACAGACAGACAGACAGACAGACAGACAGACAGAGAGACCGATCGATCGATCGATAGATAGTATATAGATAGATAGATAGATAGATAGATAGATAGATAGATAGATAGATAGATGGATGGATAGATAGATAGATAGATAGATGGACAGATAGATAGATAGATAGATAGATAGATAGATAGATAGATAGATAGATAGATAGATAGATAGATAGAAAGATAGTTTATTCACCTTAAAAACGAGCAGCCAAAGGGCTGAATTGCAAAAATGCAATAATTTGCAACTGTAATAATTTACTTAGCAATTAATGAATTCGGCTTTCGTAGGATATGAAGAATTAAGCAGATCGAGGAGGGTGTTATCCACCGAGACCTGCTTTATTATTCCTTCACAATAATTCCTACTTTAAAAACATAGCTAAAACATGCTTACCTGCATCGATGTTAAGCTCATCTTCGATAGTGTACGTTTAGGTTTGTCCAGCACCGCAAGTATTCTCCAAATAGCAGATGTCGCCCTCCGAGTTGTCTTCTTGCTGTTTTTGCCATGTTTTAAGCTATTATTTCGCCTAGTTCCAGATGTAGTTCTTACTCTTGAAACGAGTGAAATGTACGCCATTTTCTTTTTTTTTTTTTCACAACCAAAACAACTCAGCCTCGTCCCCAGTTCTTCTCGATTAACGGTGGCTTAACCTGTAGAAAACCTGTAGCGGGCTGCATTTTTGACGTCATTTCCTCGTTAAACACAAAATTCTTCTAATTTGGTCATCAGTCACTAGTTATGATGAATTATGCGTGTGCTTTTAGCCAATCAGAATTAGGGAAATATTTGAATGAATAATAAAACTAATTAAAGAAAGATGATCTGGCATAATTTACAATTGTAAAACTGTTAGACCATCGCAAATTCAAAAGCATGCGTCAAGTTCCTACATACAATAAAAAAACAAAATTATTAATGTTAAAAAGTTGTTAGCCCAACACTTTTTCAAAGTTCTTTTTGTAACGTTTGACATAATCTTTCCGAGGAGTTGTTTGTTTGCTAAGAAGCTGTGAGTTTGTCATTTAAATTCACAAGTAAATTCCTTACTGACGTTGTGTTCGTTTGCGAACCGTGTGTAGACGCGATATTGAGCAATATTAACCAAATGGATTAGACAGCAGTGACACATCCCCTTTAACTTCCAATTAGTCATTAAAATTAGAGGGAGGTAAACTTAGACTAATCGAGTATACTTACAAGGCATCTTGAATCCGGACTGGTCAACGTGTCTGTTAAATCAACGTGGCCAGAAAATATGCAAATAAATCATTCATAGAAGAGTTCAAGTGTTATGAATATTAAGGACCTGTTTGCATGGGGTTGGGGGACCCCATGTAGGTGACGTAACCCGCTTAGGTGGGGTAACCCGCCTGTCCATATAATCTCTCATTTTACTTGGATCACGTTTACACGATAGGTAGGGTAACCCTCCTAGCCGTCGTCGGATTCGGAATACATCAAATTCGAGCAAAATTCATTTTGGCGGTGACTTTGCATCATTACCAAAGGTAGCAATAGGAAGCCACAGCACTGAAGGTTGCAGCAAGAGCAGCACGTGAGTGTAGAAGAGCATTAATCGCCAAAACACGAGGTTTGCCAGCGTTTTTCTTGTTTACGTGCTTAGCGACCACTCAATAAGCTTGAAAACGTGCACCCCGTGGAGTTATTTTTTTACTCCACCTAAGCGGGTTGTCTCACCTACCTGGGGTCCCCCACTTCCATGTAAACAGGCCCTTAATTGAGATACCAATTGACCACTCCAGAAAATACCATAACATACCATGATGCTGTTTGTTTGTCACCCCAAAATTTAGCATAAGCATTGTTTTCAGTTTCTCTTGGGGCCATTTTAATTCCCAAGAGAGACTGAAGACAATGATTATGCAAAATTTTGCATAACGAACAAAGAGCATTATGGTATGTTATGATACTTTCTGGAGTGGTTAATTTTACTACCGTAGAATTAGTTTGGAACAACAAAATCACCACCGCGATGTCTTCAGTAACAATCGTCTCAGGATATTTGAAACCATTACGTAAAATTTGCATTGCAAACAGGACGGGTGCAAAAAGGTACTGGATTGCTTTGGCCGGCAGAAAAAAGTGTCCATGGTAAATATTTCTGAGAAATGGTGAATAAATTATGGACGCACCGGCTGAGCCTTTCTTCTGATCTTTTATATTGCTGTGGTAAGACAGACCTCCACATCCATGGGATAAAATTATTACGCTTACCCAGGGATTACAGCTAGGCCACCTATCAAACCTGTGCGAGACATTTGAAAGCCCTTACATCTTTGCTCTCACTGGTAAAAATTACTATCGATCGATTGCCCTGTCTATCTGAAAAGAAAGATTCTTGGTCGGCAAACGACCAGGTTTTGACGGTCCTAGTCTTTCAATACGCCGAACAGATACGAATCCTATAGCGGAGCTAAAAAAGAACAGAGTTTTAGCTGGTGTTAAAAGTACTTTATGAATAGCTACAGAAGTGTTTTCAATTGAAAGTATTTGAGGAAACAGTCGTTGAGTGGCCCTGTCTTGTTGCCTTCTCCGCTTAGCATTACACGATATATTTTATATTTAGTATGAGCAAACTATAAATCATTAGCTTCGGTTTTAGCCCTCCTGACTAAATTTATGTAAGCGCTGTTTAGAATGAATTTTTCGATTAAAAGTACTCTGGACAGCCTTAAATGTGTTTCCAATGCATTTAGGGGGAAATCATCGTTGGGTGCCCCTGAGTTTTGAGAATAATAGTAATAATAAAAAAAGATATCGCGCACATAAATTTTACTTTACGATATCTTCAGCTGTATCTTCTATTCAGCTGCATAGCGGGGGCCAGATTTTGCCTTTTTCCTAGGGCGGAAAATTCTCGTCCTCCTTCACTAAATGAAGCATGCACATAGCAAGTGCTGCATTGTTGCGCGAACGCGGTCGCTAAGCTTGAATATTCACGTCGCGTATTAAAGAACTGCAGATTAGCCGATGGTTATTTGGCGTAGTACCTACAATTTTTGCCACTTAAACCGGCCAGGAAGGACAAGGATTCGTTCCTTGTCATGTCTTTCTACGCCGAGAACAGAGTTTTAGCTGGTGTTCAATCACTAATATAAATGAAGCATGCACAAGAACCCTCGCGTATTTTGCCTTGTCATGAATATCCGTATAGCTTTGACTTATATTTTATTAGTAGAGACTGGCTATTCTGTTTGCGAGGTCCGTCTCCTGAGAAAGAAACAATAGAGAACCGGCCTTTTCTGGAATAGTGTTTGGTACCGTAGTAAGCTTATTTTTACTAGTCTAAATAACTGAGAGAGGAAATGTTAACGTTTATTTTGAACCAACGACTACCTGGTCTGTTAAAAAATGTCCAAATGAAAATCCTTTACAAAATATACTCGTTTATAGGATCCAAAAGGCAAAGGGCAGACGTCATGTCACGTTCCAGTTTCTCAAATTTTATGCATCGCTAATATCACACTATTGTTTTTGGGTTACTGTGAGAGACGTGACCAGCTGATTACCAGGGCCTTTTCCCGCCAGTCCAATTTTCTAAGTGAAAAGCACTGGGAACAAGGTCGTTTCATAGACAAGCTGATTTTCAGTCATGTCGCGTAATAATATTAATTACAAGCAAGAGAGGATTTCTCGAAGGCTTTGTATGTCCAGCGCTAAGCGTTAGTTAAACCTTATTTTTTTTATCCAGTTTTCCTCAATTGCCCCATGTAAGGGAATCCTGATTTCGGAATCCAGGAAATTTTTTCTTGTGGCATACGGAATCTGGGAAAATTGGGCTTGTGGAATCCGGAATCTGGAATCTGGAAGCTGAAATCCGGAATCCCACTTGCGATTTGAATTCGGAAGTTCCATTGACAAAGAATGGAATCCGGTACCTGGAATCCGGAATCCCTTAAAAGGGATGAGACATTTTTAAGCCGGGCTTCCACGCGAGCGAAGTGCGCGTTGGACAGAGCCGCATACTCATGGAATATGGTCAACCTCTTTTCGTTTGGTTGTCACGTGATTGACCGAGCGTACGTACGTACGTACGTTCTACCCAGAATACAAGTATTTACGTACGTACGCGAAAACAGATTGTAAGAGTGGGGTAGGGGAGACTATCACAAGGGAGCGAGGGGTGTCTCAGGCGTGTCTTGGTAAGTCTACATCCTGTATATTGAACATTAACAAAATGGTTAATTGACAGCTGTCAAAACAGGATAGCCACTGACCAGTATCACATGACCATATCGCGGGCTCACGTGTCAATTCATTGAGGTGAAGTGATTTATTTGGAAGCTGTCCGCTGACTAGTTGTTTTACTAGATCGCAATCAATGTTCAATCTCATACTTTCTAGCTAGTTTGAGAGCACTGGAAAACTGATAATGCACACATATTGGACATCAATGTTGTGATCAATTGACAGCTGTCAAAACAGGTATCCGCTGACTAGTATCACTTGACCGTATCGCGGGCTCAGGTGTCGACCCATTGAGGTCAAGTACTTTTTTGAAGTTATCTGCTGACGAGGTACTAGTTTTCAAATGATCGCAGCCTCAATTCTTTTTTTTTTTTTTTTTACACTCATATGAAATACGTCGTGTATTTCTGTCGCACAATTAAAATTTTTATTTCAAACTGACCTCGGAATAAAATAGAAAGAAAACGTTCCAAAGAATGTTTAGTTTTAGTAAAATCCAACTAGTGGTCTATTATCAATGCTGCGTTCTGATTGGTTGAGTTTACTACTAAGCTATATGTTATAGCTCCCTAGTAGCGCAGGCTTTTTGGCGGCAAAAAAGGATTAAAGTCTAATTTTAACTACCTAATTTCTTTTTTTTCTCGATATTTTTGACCAACTAGTTGGATTTTACTAAAAAAAATTATTCCTCTTGCCCTCATGGCCTCGGAGTCAATAGTCAATAGCCCATTCGGGTTCGAGGAATAATTGTTACATAAATCTGTCTGTAAAAGAAAGCTTTGAGCGATTTTATTGCCTCGAGTTCATCTTTGACAAGAAGCAAACACTTGGAAGCCGGCTTAAAACATAAACTTAAGCTTTAAGCTTGAAGACTCAGGATTTTTAGAGACACTTTAATACTTGTCTTCGTGAATGAAAATTGTTGTCTCTGTATATGTTTCACCGAATTATATTTCTTTTATTGATTGTTAGTAGTCTCTCTTGTAATTTTAATCGCTGTGCCGTTTGTTTTCAGTCGTTCAGTGAACATATATTGATCTCTTGCAGTAGGTACTCAAAATGCCCCACGTATCAAACACTTTTTGAAGATTACATATCGATAAAACCATTAAATAAAAAATAATCATAATGAATTCTTTATTATGTTGAAGCGTAACTCTGATAATGTTCATTCAAACACGACCACAGCTCGCTCAGCAAAACTGAGAACTGGCTGGCCATATATGCTAGGTGACTTTGGAATTTTTTTCAACTGTTTAGCTAAAAGAAAACGCGTGCTTCGATCAATCGTCCTGAATATTGAATGAGTGCACTTTGTATTGCAAAATTGTGAAATACTGCATTCTGCCCTAGGTCTGTATGATAAAAACAGTCCCTCATAGTACTGTTTCGCCTCATATATGATGTTTAAGGTTGGTTTACACGCGCCGAGATTTGTTGGCAAGATTTTGTAAAGTAAATTTGTCGAACGCAAAAAATTCGACCTGATTTTTTTTTTCCAGGCCTAATTAATCTACGCTGATCAAAAGCCATTATGGCTCTTAAATGTGATCGAAGATGATTGCTACTTTGGGGGTGTACGTATTGGGCTATCTTGGGCTGTTTGCAAATTATTTTTTCTCTAAAATCACTAAACCTTTCCCTCAAAAGTCAACTGAATTGTGGAATACAATTTTCTTGTTTGATTTAAATTATATATTTATCAATGGGAGCCTCGCTTTTAGCCCCGGCTAAATCTATATCTATTGTGGGAAGATTTCAGAGCATTGTCGTCATTATCATCAACACCATCTCATCAACACCGCCATCATCATCTTCAACAAAGTAATGTTATCATCTTAAGCGCCCAAAAACCTGAAATATATTTTTACAGAGAGACACATACCTATCTTGTGGGTTATTGATGTATTGATCATGACTGCTCTTGCCAGGTTTAACAGTTTGATCGCGAATGGATGCACTCTTTGACTTGAGGTTACCCATAGCTGGTTCCAGTCTTTAAAGAGCACAGTCTGTTTTCTCTGGGAAAAGATAGACGCTAAGGCAGCATCAACAGATAATAGACCATTTTACAGTTGTGGGCTTAGTACCCTAGCCTTCGAGTGAATGTGAGGCTCAGGTTGACCTTGTTTTGATACAAAACTGCTTTGCTTTCTTATGGAAATTGTCCTTGAAAATACTAGTTAGCATAAGAACAACTTGATTTACATAATAAAGCAGAAAGGTTTATATCAAAACAAGGTCACCTCCAGCCTCGCTTACATCCATAACTGTAAAATGGTCTATTAACACTCAAGTTGGCAATAGGCCATTTTGTAGTTGTGGATTGAAGCGAGGCTGAGGCTGATCTTGTTTTGATACAATCCTCTATGTCAAAGTTATAGCCATTAATTCATTTTCCACAAGTAAACGCATTAGTCCCTAGCCTTAAACTACTTGAGTATTTGATCAAAGTTGCTGGCTTTTTAGTGACTAGTTTCAATAAAAACATGCCTGCGTAGAAGGCGCTTGGAAGTAATGGGCGCAAGAAAGAGCGGGGCGCGCGACGGAGACACGCGAGGGAAGAGGGAGCGCCTACCCAAGAGGCCCATGAAAATCATTTCAACTCGCTTTCTGAGGGTGTGGAAGATTCCTATTGGTTAAGCGGCTCCCGAGGGGATAAGCGTTCTCCTTAGGAGAAACAACTGTGAATGAAAGAAAACACGACATCGTTTGCACACATGTAGTGCATAGACTGACAAGACAGTGAAGATCAGTCATTACACCACTGAATGGTGTAATCGAAATTCAGATCTTGGAGGCCACTTCAATGGGACTGTGTGGCTGTAATCTAAAAGAAGAGTTAGATTGTTTAAAGACTTCAAACGATTTGACATCAAATACGCATAGAAGAAGCGGCGACAGACTAAAGATTTGTCGAATCGTTGAAATGAAGATCAGAGGAAAGATTATTTGTTCAACAAGAACTGGCGGCTTGCAATGTTAATGAAACGCATACAATCAAGGCTTGAGGATTGATGAAATGAAACACTTTCCACTGAGGGGCATGAATTTGAAAAACCTTTTGCTATTGTTATTATTTGCTCGAAGGCGACCTGACGTCTAATCATGCATATCATTAAGATAGGATGATTTCATAGTTTATTTTCAGTTGGTAAGGAGCAAATGATGTCAAAACACCCTGGCATGACGTCATCAAAAAATGTTGAGATCATAACTCTATAAATAGGAAAGTGATATCATGTCCCCTCTTGGTCATGATGATGTCATATTTTTTTCAGGTATGATGATGCCATAGTTTATTTTAATTATGTGTGTCATATCCTTATGCGGGTATGATGTCATTATTTATATTACTTTAATTAGGATTTTATATGTGGATCAGTAATCTGAAAAATGGGTATTGAGCACTCTTTAAAGGTAATAAAGCTTGATCACCATCGTATGATGGCGAGGACATTTTGAGTCAGTTTGTGTTTGTCTTTTTCTTAGTACTATCTTGTACCCGGATCAACAATTTCTAAGCTGAAAGAAATTACAGTCAAGGCAGGTCAAGCGTACCCACCAAGATTCTATCAATAAATTTATTATTTGACAAACGAATGCGTTAGTCGTTCGCGTGACTAGTGTCAAATTCAAATCGGCATTCCTGCATGCGTATAGCCTGCGTGGCAGGCGCTAAAAGGGGAACAGGAAAGGGGAAATTTGGGCTCGCGAGGGAGAAAGGAAAGGAACGCCAGCAACGCCTGTTTGGCAAAAGGCAAAGAAGCTTTTCAAGGTAAGTTTGTTGTCATTGTCGAAGGATTCGCTTGTTAATTGTTTTGGGGAAAACCTCTCTTTCTGCCAGTTCATTCTCGTCTTCAGTTGTGATCTGCGTTAAAATTTTCAAGCACTGACTAGAATTCTCTTCCTCGGTTAGGTTACGATTCAGTTTCTACAATAGCTTTGTTCTCATTAAAACAAAGCTAGGTTAAAATTTGGAAAGGCAAAGTCAACATCCCAGTCCTCAGGGTTTACATACATATTTCAAAGTTTATTCGGTGGAAACTAAGAGCACTGTAAGTATTCACTCGTTAATGTGACGCTGAAGTCTTTTGAAAACTGGACATTATTGTGTCTGGCTCGAACTCGCTTCTATCTTTCTTTCGCTGGTCTTCGAAAAAACACTGCAAATGGCAAAGAAGCTTGTCAAGATGATCTGGTGCAGGTATATTTGTTATCGTATTTGTTGAAGGAATTACTCATTTTCTCTTAGGCAAAACATCTCGAATCTCTGCCAGTCGGTTTTCGTCTCCTTAACTATGTACTACGATAAAATTTTCAAACACTGACTAGACTCCTCGTCGATAAGATTACGAGTCAGTTTCTTCATCGCCTTTGTTCACAAATAAACACAGTTTAAAACGCTCGAGGCCAAAGTCAACATCCAAGTCTTTAAGGTTGGCAGGCGTCTTATAACTTTATTTAAACCTTTTTTCCGAGGTAAAGAGATTTGGAGCTCCGAAATGAGCATTTTCTTTAAAAATTTTGGTCCATATAGCAAGTTACGGACCGCAAATTGACCAATCGCATAGCGAAAACAGACTCAGCTATATAATAATTACATTTATCCCATCTTGCTCACCGCAAACTCGATCGCAGATATTCTGGTATATAATTATGCCTGAGCGCTTCTAAGGTACAAAAAAGAATTAGGCATGCAGTTGTTACGTTCTGTCCTTTCTGGTTCACCCAGGCAGAAGTCCTGGCATGATGTTATTACCTCTGAGCGCTTCTAGGATATATAACACGTTTAGTATTTCGACCGGTGTCTAAAAAGAAAAATTAGGCAGTTTTTCTATATCCTTTCGGGTTCATCCAGGTAGAAGTCCTGGCATGATGTTATTATGCCTGAGCGCTTCTAGGATATATAACACGTTTAGCATTTCGACCCGTAGCCTAAAAAAAAAATCAGCCAGTGGTTCTATATCCTTTCTGGTTCATCCAGGTAGAAGTCCTGTCATGATGTTATTATGCATGAGCGCTTCTAGGATATATAACACGTTTAGTATCTCGACCGCACCCCCCCCCCCCCCCCCCAAAAAAAAATGGGCAGTGGTTCTATATCCTTTCTGGCTCACCCAGGTAGAAGTCCTGGCATGATGTTATTATGCCTGAGCCCTTCTAGGATATATAACAACAACAACGACAACAAGGAGCTTTATTTGCATGACTATACAAACACATACAGTATTGCAAAAGCTATGTTTAGGAATCAAAATTACAACACAGAGCATGCAATTAATTACGTTACGTTGATAATAATTTGTCACGAACATCAAAACAAGCTGAAATATATTTTATGAATTGTATATTGATAAAGTATTTAGAAGAGTTTTTCAGTTCATTAATCAAACCGTTTATGAACTGGGTAATATTTGGAATCAGAGTCTTGACTTTATAGTAAAATTTATTCCTAATCATAGAGTATGTAGGACATTGAAAAAGAAAGTGAAATTCGTCTTCTATTACATTGCATCCACAAAAAGGGCAATGCCTATTATCCTTCGTAGTTTAATTGTATCTGCCTATTTCTATCATTAGTTTGTGATTGCTTATTCGTAGTTTTACTAAAGCTGTTCCTCTTGCTAAGTCTAAGTAACTAGAGGAGGTATGATCGGTTTTAAAAGATCTATAAAATTCAAGTTTTTGAGAATGTTGAAGGGTGTTTTGCCAATATGAGATATATTCCTGTTTCATTGAACTTACATAGCTTTTCACCATTGCTATATCTAATAAATCAGGGTTAAAGTCAGGAAGCTTGAAGTATTCTGACATATTCATTAAATGAGAGTGGAAGCTATTTTTGCCATTACAGTGTAAGTCGAATAACATTAAAAACGCTTGTTTGACGAGAGATTCATCATCTTTAGACTGTATATACAAAATGTATTTCAGAATTTTTTGATTGATTGTGATATTTAAAGGAAAACGACCAAGCTCTGCTCTACAAGCCATAATAGAAGCTTTGTTGTTTACCTCCAAGTATCGCTTACAAAATTGAAGGTGTGCTTTCTCGATTTGTGAGCCGTCCCAGGTCTTAAAGTCTGGTTTGGCATAAACACCCCAAATTTCACTGTTATATGTTAGAATAGGGGAGATCATAGTATCAAATATTTTACAGGCGAGAGCTGCTTTTAGTTTGCTAAGGTTCGTGTGTCGTCTCAAGCTGAAGAGGGCATGAAGAGCTTTCTCCTTGAGATGTTCACGTGACACTGAAAGATTTCCTGATGAGTGCATTTGAGTTCCTAAGTAAGTGTACTCTTGTACAACATCAATTATTCCATCTATGAGAAAGTGAAAATCAGCATTTTTTCTCGCACGTTTCTGAAAAACTATAATTTTTGTTTTCTTGGAATTGATTTACATCATCCATGAAGTACAGAATGAAGATAGTTTATCAAGGCAATTTTGTAGTCCTGTTTTGGATCGTGATGAAATGATTAAATCGTCTGCATATAATAGAGAATTTAGTTTTGCACCGTTTGGCAAAACAAAAGGATCAGATAATGTATTTTCGCATTTGTTTTTAGGCAATTTTAATTGAGCAGGAAGAGTTGAGATATAAGCTTTTAATTGAGTTATAAAAAGAACCACCAACATCAATTTGCAGCAGCTTATTCAATAGCCCGTCATAACAGACCAAGTCAAAAGCTTTTTTAAAAACAACAAAACAAGCGTAGATCTTTTCGTTGCGATTATGAACGTACTTATCTATCAAGGTTCGGAGAGTGAAGAAGTGGTCTGCTGTGCGGTTATTCGGTAAAAAGCCAATTTGAGATTTGTGGAGTATATTCAAGCAAGCGATATACTCGAGAAGTCGTTGGTTTAAGATAGAACAAAACAGTTTTCCCAGGCAGCTAGAGACACAGATACCCCGGTAGTTTGTCGGATCGCTTCGTCCGCCCTATTTATAAATGGGAGTAATAAGACCACCACACCAAGTCTGTGGCAAGGTCCCTTGATTAAGAATTGAGTTAAATAATTTTTCATATACCGGCATCAGTGTATCAATACTAGCTTTTATCATTTCATTTCTAATTTTATCCGAAAATGGTGATTTATTATTCTTTAACTTTTCCGCGGCTTTACGTATTTCTCTTTCAGTTATCATGAAATCTAAAGGACGACAGTGTTGAACATGGCATTCATTTTTTCGTAGTTCATTGCAAATGTTTTGCTGCGTTGGGTTAAGATGTTCATTTGAATGAAGATTGTGG